TGACCCTGTGTACCCTGCCCTGCGGCCCCTTCCGTTGGTTTCTGGAAGCTGGGGGCCAAACTCTGTGGGGCCAGGTTCCTTCTGCGTAGTAGTGGGGGACGCCCAGCCCCACTAACCCGTCCCTTTATCCTCTGCTCCTCACGGCGCTCATGACAATCGGATATTTTCCACACTGGTCACTCAGCTCTTTACTGGCCAGGTCAGAGCAGAAACGGAGACCCAGCAGCCGAGAGGGACGCACAGCGGGAGGTTTGCCCGCTGCCAAGCCTGTTCTCCTTGGCGTCTGTCTTAGGGGACAGTGGCGATCTGGTGGTTCGCAGTGATGGGCATCCGATGACCGTCTTCCTTTCTCGTTTGGGGCAGGAAGACACCATCAAACCCACAGGTCACGGCACAGGCAAGCAAAGTCCCCAGACTTTGCTCCTTCTTCTTTTCTAATGTACAAAACCATCCAGTAGATGGGGATGAGCAAGCTTGGGGACACGGACCAGATGCGGAGGGGCACATGACACCTTCATGTGGCCCCAGGACCTGGCTTGGGACCGCTAGTAGGTGCCCTCTGTAGCCAGGCCAGGGGCTGAGGAGCCTGGAGGGGGGGGAGGTCCGAGGGATGCCCCAGCCCTTTGAGGAGCTTGCAAAGGGAGCCCCTTGAAGGGGGGAGCAGTAGGACTAGTGTCCCAGCCAAGTCACTACTACCTAGAACATCCTGGGAAAGGCTTAATCTGGCAAGGAGACCACCCCCCCACCCCCCCCCACCCCCGCCAAGACGCAGGGTGTGTCCTTGATGGAACTGGGAGGCTCAGGGACAACATTACAGCAGAGCCCAGAGGAGGAAGTGGGGATGCCAGCCTGGGGTGGAGGAGAGGGGGCTGCAGGGTCCCCCTGGCAATCCACATGCTTCCCCCAGAGCTGGAAGACAAGGCTGCTCATCCTCCTAGGATGGGTCCCGAGCTCAGGAAGGCAGGTTCAGCCCCTGCAGGCCCAGGCCTTCCTCTTCCAGAGAATCTTTTCTCCCTTAGTTTCCTTTAATGTGTAAAAGTTCTTAACGTGGATGAAGCCTGATTTATCTATTTTTTTTTCTTTACTTGCCTGTGGTTTTGGTGTCCTATCCAAGAAACAATTGCCAAATTCAGTGTTGTGAGGATTTCCCCCTGCATTTTCTTCTAAGTATTTTAGTTTTAGCTCCTTTTTTTAAAAAAAAGATTTTATTTATTTATTTGACAGACACAGCGAGAGAGGGAACACAAGCAGGGGGAGTGGGAGAGGGAGAAGCAGGCTTCCTGCTGAGCAGGGAGCCCGATGTGGGCCTCGATGTGGGGCTGGACCCCAAGACCCTGGGATCATGACCTGAGCTGAAGGCAGACGCTTAACAACTGAGCCACCCAGGCGCCCCTACAGTTTTAGCTCTTATGTTTAGTTAGGTCTTTGAGTTAGTTTTGTATGTGGTGTGAGGTAAGGGATCCAACTTCATTGTTTTGCATGTGGAGGTGCTTCTCAGCCCAGCCCCTGGAGCGGCGGCGGCCTTGTGCACAAACCTCCTCCATGCCCACAGCCTGGCCTCCATAGGGCACCCGGGGGAGCAGAAGGTCCTGCCCCTACTCCAGGCAGCTCCCAGGCACACCACCCCCTCCTCGTGGGGTGGGCATAGGACCTGCCATGGCTGGCCAGCATCCTTCCTCGTCTGGGTTTTATATTCACTGACTGCACAAAGCCCTCACCCTCTCCAAGCCTCAGTTTCTCCTTTGTACCCAGGGAGTCGGATCCAGTCATCTCTCCCACTGGAACTGCTCCACTTTGAACACACAGCAGAGTCCCCAGCACCCTGGAAATGTCACTCGAGGTCCTGTCCAACTGCCTGGTCCAACCTCACCCCTGCCACCCTCCTCCTCTCACTCTGCCCTGTCCACCCCACCTCCCACTCCTTCTGCCAGGGAGGATCTTCCCCTAGCCTCCCCACAGCTGGGGTTCAGTCCTCCTTCAGGGCTATTTGGACCTCATCAGAGACCTCCCTGACTGCGCTGTCTGAACCAGGCGTGTTCCTTAGCTGCATGACTGCTCCCTGAACGCCTCGTGGCTTTAAACAAGGCACTTCTGTTATCTCACTTTCTGTACATCAGGAGCCCGGGCTTGGTGAGGCCCCTGTTCAGCATCTCTGGCCCTCATCTGAGGCTTGGGGCCTTCCTGCAAACTCACTGGTGGTTGGCAGCATTCAGCCCCCTCCCCCTGCTATTGAAGGCCCCACTTTCTTGCTGGCTGTCCTGGGGTGGGGGGCAGGGGGGCAGTATTCTCAGGTCCTAGAGGCCACCCTGTTGTTCCTGCCTGCCATGTGGCCCAGGCTATACCATGCCCTTGTGCATCCTCAAGGCCACAGTCAGTGCTGGATAAATGTGTGTGAGCTGCCCGATGAATGGAGGCCGTCACCGCGCATGTGTGTGCCAAGGTGTGAGCTCAAGGAGGCTTTGGGCTGAGGATACCAGGTGGGAGGAAGCCTTCTGCTCACCCCCTGCCCTCCAACCTATCCTCCAGCTAAATGCCCCATTCTCCTCTACCAATCTTGACTCTCTTCCCAGAATGAGAGCCACTTTCCCCTAGAAAGACAGTTCTTCCTGCTGGTTGGGACTTGGCAACTAGGGCCAAGGGGCCACACCTCCCTATCTCCAGGTATCCCCTCACCACACATAAAGACAGGTCCTGGTCTTATGTACGTTTCCTCCTCCACAACCTTCCATGGCTCCCCATGACCCACAGGGCCAGGCCACACACATTGGTTGGTCTCACCAAACTACACCCCTATTACCCCCCAGGCCACCCCCACATGGCCAGCCCTGCTCTCTCTCTGCCCCATCATCGTGGAGCCCACGTGAGCCCCTGGTTCTTCTATCTTTCCTCCAGCAGTGGCCACCACATTTTAGTAGCCACTGCTATGTGTTGGGTGCCTTCCCCACACAGCCCTGTGCAAACCTCCTGGCATCTGCAGAGAAAGCCGGAACCGAAGCCCATGCTCCTAGGCAGGAAACCAGTTGATTAAAGAGTTGTCAGCAGCCATGTGCTGTACAGCAGGCTCACCTGGGGTTCTTGTTAAAACACACCCTCCCACTCCCAGGACCACTCAGCACTGGTGAATCTGGGCTGGGGCCCCAGACAGCAGGTTTCTCAGAGAAGCCCCTGAAGGGCCCAGCACCCTGAGGTGGAGAACTGCAGCTGTGTGGCCCGGGAGGGACCCAGGGCTGCAGCATCCCAGGCCAGGCCCATGCTGGGTCCCTGTGGGGGTCCAGGCGTGGGCAGCCCCTCTGGAGTTCAGAGGCTGGCAGAGACCTGGAATGCTCACATTCTGCTCAAGGGGGCCAGGCCCTCTGGCCTTGGTCACCTGGGACCGCGGTCACTACAGCCAAACCCTATGGGCCACTGCTGACCGGGAGGTAACCTCGGCAGAACTCCCTTCCCAACCCAGCCTAGCCACTGCACCCAGGAGACCCCCTCCTCCATCTCGAGGCTTGTGAGAGGCCCTCCTTTTACTCCCCCAAGTAACAGGACGGCTGGGAGCACACGGAATGCATGCACTGAGCAGCCGGGTTCCTGCCCCTGGGGAAGCCAGCAGCCTCAGCAGTTCCAACGAGGGGGCTCTGGGGAGAGGAGAGAGGGAGGGAGGGTAAAGGGAGGGAAAGAAGGAGTGAATGGATGCAAGTTGCTTCGGCAGTCCAGCGCCCCCCCACCCCACGCCGTGCAGCCTGGGGTCGCGGTGCCCTCCACCGGCCGCTGCCGGGCGGGGGGGCGGGGGGACACCTACAGCTGCCTGACCCCAAGGCGCCCACGGGCGGAGCAGGCTGACCTTGGAAGGCGCCCGCTCCCCACCGTGAGCTGAAGTTTGGGCAGCGAGGCGCGCCCGACGGGGAGGTGCCGGGAGAGGCCGGGAGAGCCAGCGTTCGCTCCTGGCCGGCCCGCCCCTCCTCTTCGCTCCCCTCCGCTCCCTTCCCCCACCGCCAGCCCCGGCGCCCCGCCCCCACCCCGGCCATCCCCGGGTTAGGGAGCGTCCGCACTTCTCCTCCCGTCGGTCGGGCCGGCACTCGGCCTCTTGTACCGGGTCAACTCATTGGGCGGCTTCGACGGACGCCCCGCCCAGGGCCCCGAAATGGCCAATAGCTAGGGGTTTCACAGGGCACCGTGCTCCGGGGACCGTCACCGTGCTGCGACGCTTCAGGGGATCCTTAGGCCTCAGTGGTCTTTCCCCCCCGGCCCCTGACCCCAGCCCCAAGGAGACCTCCGGGACCCGTGCCCGAAGAGCTGCCAGCGCGGCATCCGGGGAGCCCTTGGAGATCTCGGCCTCCCCCTGGCCCCGCTGCCCGCCGGCGTGTCCTCGAGTGGACGCACGCATCGCGAGGGGGAGTTTGTAGACGCTCCCTCCAGTCGGGGACGCGGCTCCTTTAAGGGCGCAGGTGTCCGCAGTGCCGCCTGACTGGAAAGCCGCACCCGGACCAGGCTCTCGGGCCTGGCCCGAGGCGCGGGCGCGCGGCAGCAGGGCGCGGGCGGCGGGCGGCGCGCGGCAGCGCGGGCGGCGCGGGGCGCGGGGAGGCGCCGGCTGCGCGCGGGGCAGGCGCGCGGCGGGCAGCCCTCGCAGGCCCCGCCCCGCCCCGCCCGCCGGGGTCCTCGGAGCGCTCGGGCTGCGCGCGGAGCGGGCTCGGGAGGGAAGTCCCGAGACAAAGGGAGCGCCGCCGCCGCCGCCGCCGCCGCCTCGTCCGCCTCGCTCGCCGGGCCGCGGCCGCCCGAGGTGAGCGCGGGGGGCGCGGGTGGGCGGCGGGGGGCGCGGGCGGGGGCCGGCCTCGGGGCGCGGGGGCCTCCGCCGCCGTCGGGCCCGGGTCGGGCGGGCGCCTCCTCACCCCCCGACCCCAGGCCCGCCCCGCGCACCCCCGCTTCGGGCAGGGCCACCGGGAGCCGGTGCGCCTCCGAGCCGCGGCCGTGCGGCTCTCCCCGCCGGACCTCCCGGGGCCCGCCGGCCTCGGGCCCGCCCCCGCCCCCGCCCGGCCTGGCTGGGGTCGCGGCCGGCCGGCCCCTCGAGCCCCCGCCGCGCACCCGTTCGGGAGCGGGGAGAACGGCCCCCTGGCGCGTGCTCGGCGGCGTCCCCGAGGTGCTGCTGGCAGCGGCCGCTGTTGACAGGGACGCGAGCCTGGGCCGCCCCGCCGCCGGGGCTCTCCTCCGCCCCAGGGAAATTCGTTTCCGGGGTCACGGTCTGCACACAGACCTGTGGCGCTCGCCAGCCGGGGAGAGCATGCACGGCAGAAAGAGTTGAAAGTGACGATTACAACAGAGCTGGCTCGTCTGGCGGGGGTCTAGAAACCAAAACAGTCTGAGTTTTCTCGTGCCTCTGAAGAGCGCCGCTTGCACTTGGTGGGACCCCGAACGCGAGTTTCCTAGGAGGTTGCTTTGTACCGATTGAACGGAGGTCGGAGCTGGTAGTTACGTGAGTAGGAGGAAGGAAAGGGCACGATTAGCCGGGCTCACGATCCCGGCCTGCCGTTGTCCCGAAATCACGGCGGTACCTGGTTCGTTTGCTGTAGTTTGAAAATATGCTTAGTCCCTGGGTTTGCACAGTTGGCCTTTCGTTTGTTTGCTTTTGAAGTCTGTAGCCCTAAATGTTTCTTGCTATTAAGGAAATACTGCTTTTGGGTAGAAAAGTGACTCCACGGGAAAGGGAGATGGATCCTTTCTCCTGCGTTGCTTAGGGCCTTTTTTAGGGGGTGGTTAGGGGTGAATTGTGCCTGCTGTTGAACCTTTGTCTGCTGAGTCCTGAGGTTAAGAACCTTGCTTCAGAAACAGCCTGGGGTCCTGGGAGTTGTGTGGGCAGCGCACAGGGAAAGTGCATCCTGGGGCAGGTGCCTCTGTCAGGTGTAGAAATGCCTTCGCCCCCGGACGGGGGGTGTTGCCTTTTGGTGGGAAAGGGTGGTCCCCGGCTTCCCATCCATAATCTGTTTTCTCCTGGGCAAGCCTGTGGGGTCACAGCACTATCACCCATTTTACAGATGAGAAACTTGAGGAAGGGGGAGAGAAGCACCTTGCCCGCACCCGGGCAGGCAGGAAGTGGCTCTGAGGTTCGTGTCCTCCGGTAGCAGAGCACGCACCTTCAAGTACAGCCCAGTGTGGGAGCCCTGGAGAGAGGTGGTGGTGGTGCCTGGAGAGCCCGGCTCCTGTCCTGCAGGCTGGCTCTCGTGCTTCCAAGATGTGTTGTCTGCATCTCATCACTGCTGCTCTGTAGCATCTAGTAACACTTACCTGCTACCTGAGTGCCTCTCTGTTAGCTTGGGGAAGGGAGATTGGCTTTTAAGTGGGATTCTAAATGAGAGTGGTTCCCTGTTGTAGTTAAAATGTAACAAATTGGCTGCTTTGTCCTGGACAGCAGGAGGCCAGTGGGAGTGGAAGCATGTCTTAGAGACGGGGTCTCTGCTTGAGACTGGGCGGATGTGCACCAGTGGGTCTTTGCCCTGATGGCAGAAACCCACTTTGGTGCCCAGTCTGGCCCATCAGCACCCCTGACGAGGGGGCTGCAGGAACTCTAACGGGACCACCCCTCGTTACCTCCCACGATCTGGGACAACTCACACAGCTAAGCACTGGGACAGGGCCTTTGTAGGCGGCACTTTCCGGTCTTCGGGGCAGAAGAGGTGGCCTGTGGCAGGGTTGTGACATGTGGTCAGCAAGCAGACAGCACTCAGGATCGCCCTGCCTGCCTTTCGGGAGCCCTGGCCCGGCCTGCTCCCAGCCCCCGCAGAGCACCTTGAGTGCTGGTATCCATGGCTCCTCACCGTGTGGAGCTCTGTCTGGCCTGGGGCTTCAGGAACCTGTTTTGATGCCTGGCTGAGCTCGGACTCACTGGGGACCTTGCAGCCCCCTCGTCACTTCAAGAACTGCTCACCAGGCTGCTTGCATTTGGTCACTGAACCTCTATGCTGATTACTTCAGCAGAAGCGTCCTGCCAACTTGCGCTGTCTGCTTGGGGGGGGGGGGGCAGGGAGCACTAGGAGGCAGGAGTGCTTCAGAAGCTGGAGTGTGCTGTGCCCTCAAGTCTCCTGAAAGGAAGGTCATCTCCACTGACCCTGGGGTTGGTGTTGGGTCAGGGGTTTGAGAAACGTGTGGAGATGACAGATTTTCAGGCATCAGGGTCACTGCCTGCTTCTGACCAGAGAACATGTGCCCCAGGCTCTCCACCCGCCTCCTGCAAGCCCAGGTCCTCATCCTCTGGATCACACTCACCCTTGTGCTCCCTGGGCCCCACCTCTGCCCAAACAAATATTCCAGACGGGTGTGCTGTCCTGTGAGGGAGATTCTGGGCAGGTGTGTGCCTCGGCGGTCCCAAACACCCCATGGCATCGTGTTGCTGGCAGTCAGGACTGTGCAGGGATGGAGACGAAGGGGGCAGACCAGAAGGCTGGGATCGTGTGGTGGTGAATTGGAATTCTGCTTTGGTCCCAGCATGGTGTAGTCTAGTTTGGAAATAATTTTGAGGTCAAGCAAAGTTGGAGCCTATTACAGAGTGTGTTCTGGGGTCAGATCTGTCACTTCTTCCTGATGGCCATGCTTCCTGAGTGGAGGGCTTTGACTTTTGACTTTTTCTTAGGATAACCTCAGTACACGTGTTTTTTAAAATGGGACCCCACCTGGCTGGTCCAGCGCTTTGCCCTAACAGCCAGCTTCCTGAGACCTGGGCTCTTGCATGACACCAGGGGCTGCAGTGGCTCTCTGGGATTCCCTGATCCCTCCTCCCACTTGGCTAACTTGTTGGGAAAATAATTGTCCAAGAGCCTCCCAAACCCTGAGCACTGGGTCCCACCCAGAGTTCCTCACTTACGGCCATGGGGGCCCTGGGGGCCTTGGGGGACGTGCATTTATGACACGCCCCCAAGGCCACACTTGGAGAGTCCAGGCCCAGTCTCTGCTGAGCTGTTGGCCTCACCCCTGCTGCACGACCATGTGGGCTCTGGGCAGGGTCTGTGTTGCTCGGAGACGGTTTGTGCGGGGGGGTGGTGCTGGGGCAAAGAGTGTGGTTTGGATTGGATTGCTGAGGGGCAGTTGAGGGTCAGCCTGAGTCGGGTTGGGGGGCGTTGCATAGGAGTAGTTAACAGGAGGGGGCGGGGGGTGGGCATGAGCTGGGTTTGAGTTGAGGCTCCACACTTAGCCAGCATGATACCCTCTGGGTCTTTCTTCTGGTTGTTCCCAGGTGTGTGTTGAAGCCTGGCTGGGGACGGGGTTAGGTGAGCCTGAGCCAGGAAATATGGCTGGGAGGTGGTTCTTCTGAACCCGGCTGAGAACCCTTGTGGTTGTGGAGAACCCCGTGTTGTACTCAGGAATGTGGGGTGTTGGACCTCTTCCCCCACAAGAGCAGCGAGGAGACTTGTTGCCAGCTCTCCATGGAAGCCTGAAGGGTTGGGGCAGGCTGCTGGTCATCCCCTTCCAGGAGACACGCGCCTTGTCTTGTTAAAGCCTTGTTTTATGGTAAATGCTGGATTCTGGGTATCTTCAACGTTTCCGTGGATTTTGAAGACCAACAAACAGACTTAGGGTCAAATTCTGAGGGCAGCTGGGGGCACTGGCCTGTTGAGCTCCGCTGGGTAAGCAGCAACCTGGAGGGTCTGCTCCACTTGCAGGCAGCGTAAGGCTGTGCACAGTGGGCTCCAGGCCGCTGCTGTGAACAGCTGAAGGCTCCAGGCCTTGGGGGCTGTGGTCTGGAGGTGCTGGGAGGATCAGCAGGGCTTTGAGCAACCCTCTCCCCCAGCACGCTCACAGGACAGGTGGACACAGCGGGCGGGCTGCTGTCTCTCCAGGCTTGCTGGTGCTGCCTGCTGCAGCCCCACCTTCTGCTGACTCTCCCAGAGTAAATGGGAGACAGGCCTTGATCCATTTATTGTGATGAAGTGCCGGGGGATCGGGGTTGGGGAGGGGGCTGTGGGGGGCGAACGTAGAGGGGACAGACGACAGCGCTCGGGGCCCTAGTGAGAGGTAGGTCTCTTGGGTGCTGCGGGCTAGGCGTGGTCCAGGGACTTGTCCACGATGACCTGCTGTCCACCCTGGAGCACCTTTCTACTCATTTGCTTTCAAGAATAAGGGTTATTCTCCTGGCCAGACCTGAATCTAAATTCTAAGCTGGGGCCTGATGGTGCCCCGCCCCCCTCTCTGCACGGGCAAAGGGGAGCAGCCTGTCAAGGCCATGACCCGCTCCCTCCCCGTCCTCAGGACAGCCCCACCTTGTCCTTGCCTTTCCTAGAGGCTGACAGTGGGATTGGTATCCCTGTCACTCTAGCCCACCGCCATGGGACCGAAGAGGGCAGGACGGGGGTGCAGGCATCTGCCGGGAGTGCTTGGCAAGCCCTGCCTGCGCAGCACCTGACAGCTCTATGGCCCCAGGCCGGTGCCTTCACCTCCCTGCATCTCGGAATCACTGTGTCTTAGAGGCCACAGGCTGTGCCATGGGGCCCTGGGGGCAGGGGGAGGCTAGGGTCACCGCTGTGGGGTGCTGGTGCCCGCACGGCCTCCAGGCTGGGCGGCTCGCTGAGAGCAGGTCTGTGTGGAGTGAGGTGTGAGAGCGAAGGGGCAGGAGGAGCCTGAGTTTTGCCTCTGCTAACCGCGCGCTCTGCCTGGTCTCTTTCAGGGACTTTGAACATGTCGGGGATTGCCCTCAGCAGACTCGCCCAGGAGAGGAAAGCCTGGAGAAAGGACCACCCGTTTGTAAGGAAAGCTTTATTTCTGCACGCAGCAGAGTGGATCCGTTTCCCCCGGTGGAAACCATGAAGTCCCCGTCCAGCCTGGGCCTGTCACATTTTCTGGGCAGAGGGTCCATGGGCGTCACAGGATGGTTCTACGAGCGGGTGAGACAAGATGTGCCGCGCTGATGTGCTTGTGTTTTCTCTCAGGGCTTTGTGGCTGTCCCGACAAAGAATCCTGACGGCACGATGAACCTCATGAACTGGGAGTGTGCCATTCCAGGGAAGAAAGGGGTAAGGCTCCGCTGGCCTGCCCATCCCCTGTGTCGGCCCCATGGGCCCTGGTCCCATCCCCCTGGGAGGGGGCTGTGAGATGGGGGGGAACAAGGGTAGGGTGACATGTGACTCCCCCCCACCCCCACCCCGGGGCAGTTTTAATTCAGAAAGGGGAGCTGGGCTGCAGAAGGGGATGGATACAGCACCCCCACCAAGCCTGGGGGCCAGACCCAGCCACATCTCTGGGGCAGGAGGAGCCTTGAGGGCCTTTGTGTTTGTCCTTCAGGACGTGCGGTGGCCGAAGCAGCCCCAACCTTGTGACGCTGGTCCTGGCAGTCTTTGAGCCCCGGGGCGGCTGCTGACCCTCAGATGCTGACACCCCACATTGGGCCACCTGGGAAAGCCGTGTGTGGCCTGAGCTTGCCGGGGCCGGTTAAGACCAGCATGTTCGAAGCATTTGGGAGTGAGGGTCTTCCTGGGTGATCCCAAAGGAAAGAAGAGGTCCCGGAGGTGTCCCCATTGTTCCCGAGGCCTCGTCACCTCTGTTTTCTTCCCCTGTGGTTCATGGTGACTGTCACGGGAGCTCAGCCTTGGTGCTCCCCAATAGTCTCCTCCTTCTGTTAAGCCGGTGGGATTAGGACATGGCTTTGTCTGCAAGGTGATGTGGTTTGGGTTCATCTGTTGAGCGCCCAGCCTGTGCCTCTGCCTTTGCTAAGACCATTCTCCGTCCCTCGTCCAAGGCTGAGGCAGTCGTGGCCATGTCCCTCCCAGAGGAGGCTGGGGAGAGCTGTTGGATCATGGAGCTGGAGGGAGGGGCCTCGCTGCAGCTGCTTAGATGAAGATTCTGACCCCCGTCCTGGGGCCTTAGGGGGGCAGCCCGCCAGGCCCCTGCCTGTCTTCCCAGAAGTCCAGCTCCAGCCCTTCTCCTCTCTGGGGAGGGCTCTTTCCAGGCCCCCTTGGGGCCCATGGAGGCACCGATAGCCCTGTCATGGGGGCACCTGGTCTTTGGGCCAGTTTAGGAGTCCACCTCCTGTTGGGACGGTGCTTGGGGACACGCCCCAGAAGCTACAGCCCTCCTAACTGCAGCTTCGCTTCCCAACAGACTCCCTGGGAAGGAGGCTTGTTTAAGCTACGGATGCTTTTCAAAGACGATTATCCATCCTCACCCCCAAAATGTAAGTAGAGCAAAGTCCTCCAGAGTCTGTCTGCTTCAGCATATTCCAGCGGAGATCTGCAGTGCCGTGTTCCCTGGGGGGCAACTCCAGGGGCTCCCATCCCTGAGCCTAGCTGTAGGTCTGAGCCCATTTGAGCCCCCGGGCTGGAAGGTGCACATGATGGGCTCAGTCGCAGATCCTGGCTGTAATCCCTGGGAGGCCCCGGGGCCCTTAGTGCCTCTCAGGGACAAGGTGCCATACCTGCGGCCCCAGCAGGGATGGGCACGCAAAGGACCATGGTCCAGAGCCTCCCCGCTCCGACAGCTTTGTTTCCCTCACCTGGTGTCGCTCCACCTGCTGGTTACAGCTTCATGTGTAGCTTGTGGCCGTGTGTGCAGCCCGGAGAGACAGCGCGCCGAAGCCTCCAGAGGAGAGGCGGTGTGTAACACGGTGCTGGTTAGAGCACCAGAGTGCAGTGTCGGAAAACTCGGGTGGAAAGAGGCACCGAGTCCCTCCTGTTCTGAAGCTGGAGAGCCACCGACCCTGTCCGTGGTTGGTTGGTTGAGTGAGTGACCACATGCCTCCGTGTGCGCACAGGCGTCCGGCACAGCCCGTGGCAAGGCCAGGCCGTGTGTAAATGTTTACGCTGCAGTTACTAATTCAGAAGCTAGGAGTACATTTTCCATTATAAGGGCATCTACCAGAAGATTTTTAAAAATTAATGATTAGCGGGGTAGCCGCTGGGATGGAGACTTTATTTGGGGTGGTTCTCTGGTGTTCGAGTAGTTTTTGCCACGTGCAGGAGTTACTTTAATCGCTTTAATTAAAAAATGAGGCAAGTTGTAGTTGCTCTTTTCACTTCTCTTCAACATGATACTGGAATTCTAAGCAAATGCAACAAGGAAGAAAAAATTCCCACAGAAGAGAGGAAAGGGAGGCGGGCTGCAGATGTTCTTCATGACGTCCGTTTATGAAGGTTGTGGGATAAAAGATTAACATGCAAAAACCTATTTTCCTAAAATTGCTGCAAATGAAAGTGTTTAAACCAGACTGTTTACAGTAGCATCAGATACTGTGGAATAAATCCAACGAAAGAGGTTCAAGACTTCTAGACTAGAGACTCCAGAGCACGGCTGAGAGAAGCCAAGGGCAGCCTCTGAGACAGGCGACCTGGGTCCCCTGGGTGGGCCGGAAGACCCAGTGTTGTAAAGATGTCCGTTCTCTCCAAGCCCATCTGCGGCGTCCGTGTGATACGTCAGAATCCAAGCACATTTTTGTGGAAGTGGCCATGGGGACCCTGACATGCAGGAGTGCAGAGGGCCGAGAACGGCCATGGACCTTGGAGTGCCGGGTATGGTTGTGAGGACCTGCACAGAGGCTCATCAGTCGAGGGCACCCGGCCCCGTTAACAGGATGGGCAAGATGTGAGCTAGACGGACTGGCCGCAGGGACCCAGTAATTGAGACGCAGGCCTGTGGGAGCAGAGTCCAGACAGGCCGTGTGTAGCATGGTTCAGTTCTTGACAAAAGGAACAAGAGATGTGGGGGGAGGGTGGTCCAGTGAACAGACTCAGTCCACAGGGTATCCCAGCAGAAGAAAGGAATCCCCCTTCCACCCCAGTCTTCCAGATGGATCTCAATGCTCAACACAAAGGTGGAGCTGTAGAGCTCTTAGAGGAAGATTGGGGGGGTGGCATTTTCATCACTTGGGGTGGTTTAGCCAGTGAAGCACAGGCAGGGCGCCCCCCTGCCCCCGGAGGCAGATGGGCAGTAGATGGGGTTGCATGACCCTCAGGACCAGGTCTTCACCAGAAGGCACAGGTGGGAGTGAGGAGGAGAGAAGGTTCTGTGTGTTCATCAGCACTTATCCTGAATACGTGAAGGGCGTCTACGAATTGGTAAGGAAAAGGCAGACAACCATCGGATCAGCAGGCCCTTCCCAAGAGAGGCTCTCTTCCCGGCCAGCCAGCAGAGGAGAAGGTGCCCGACTTCCATCACCGGACACACAGCCAGGGTGGGAGAGGGCAGAGCCTCAGAAGCCCCCAGGCCTCTCTGAACATAGTGTGAATTTTGACTGTTTGCCTGGGGAAGCCATCTGCCATGTGTACAGAAGCTGAACTTGGGCCTGCCCAGGCCCCAGCTGCTCTACTCAAGTGAATATTCAGCGGAAATGCACGCATGCTCACCAGAAGCCAGAGGCAGCCCAAGTGTCCGTGAACAAACCCGTGGGTGAGCAACGGGGATGGTCCACAGCCACCAGAGAGGGCAGGACCCACAGGTGCTCACAACACGGTGAAGCCCCCCGACATGATGATGAGTGGTCAGAACCAGATTCCTCGTGGAAGTCAGCAGCAGGCCCTGTGACGGTCAGGGAGGGGACTTCTCTGGACAGAGGAAACCAGCGGTGACCAGAGTCGGGGTCAAGGCTTCAGGGAAGCTGCTGCCCCCCACTGGTGCACTGTCCTAGATGAGAAACAAGATCGGCCCCTCGGATTAAATGAAAATTAAGGATTTGTGCTCATGAGGAAGTACGATCAGAAGAGCAAAAAGGCATACATGGAGTGGGAGAAGTTTCCCTCAAGACGTTCACCCGATGGGGCTTGTAGCCAGAATGTACCCGGCGCTCTGGCAAGTCAGGAGATAGCCCAGTTGAAAAACGGACAAGAGGGACACCTAGGTGGCTCAGTCGGTGAAGCATCTGCCTTTGGCTCAGTCCATAATCCCGGGGTCCTGGGATCGAGCCCCACATCAGGCTCCCTGCTCAGCGGGGAGTCTGCTTCTCCCTCTCCCTCTGCTGCTCCCTCTGCTTGTGCTCTCTCTCTCTCAAATAAATAAATAAAATATTTTTTAAAAAAATGAACAAGAGACGTGGCAGGAATTTCAAGAAGCAGACCGTGTGTCACAGTGAATGAAGGTGCTGGCCCCTGGAATCACCAGGGCAGCTCAGGTCTGCAGCAGGACAGCTGAGCTCCGTGACCGACCCTGCTGGGCACGCGGAAACTGGAAATAGGCAACGCCTCCGCCTCAGGACTGACACACGTGCACCAAAAGGACCTCTGGGGAACGTTCATGGCTTTTTCAGTGGAGGCCGGGTGGACGGGTGCATGGCGCGGTCGCTCGGGGAGCAGCACCATGTGCCGCGGGGCGTGTGTCTGAGAAGCCCTCACCCGGGTGCTGCTTGGGTGCTGGGGGGAAGGGGGGAAGAGCGGCTCGGGGTTTTTCTAGCTGTGTGTGTTTTGGAATTCGTCAAGCTGCTCTTAGATTCCTTGTACTTTTTATGATTCAATGATGTCTTACAATAAAGAGAAAGGGGGAAAGTGCCCGGAAACTCCCTCAAACATTAGCTGTGGGGAACAGCCCCAGGGTGGGCTCGAGGTAATTTTCTTGCTCTTTTATGTTTTACAATTTCCTACACGTGTTCGTTTTTTTTTTTTTTTAAAGATTTCATTTATTTATTTGAGAGAGAGAATGAGATAGCATGAGAGGGGGGAGGGTCAGAGAGAGAGGCAGACTCCCTGCCGAGCAGGGAGCCCGACGCGGGACTCGATCCCGGGACTCCAGGATCATGACCTGAGCCGAAGGCAGTCGCTTAACCAACTGAGCCACCCAGGCGCCCACGTGTTTGTTTTTTAAAAAGAAAATTAACTTTTGTGTTTTAAAAGAACGTGGAGGGGGACAGTGTGGGGTCCTACAGGCCTTTTTGAAGCAAAATGATCTGTCTGAAAATAGCCACTTGTTAGAAGGGCCTCAGAGTTCCTGCCCTCAGCTGCGCCCCCAGGACTGTCCTCACGGGCTGCGTCCCCTCCCCACCTTCCCGAGTCTGGGCTGGCTTGGGGGTGACCGGGGGCGGGGACCTGGGCAAGCACATGGCTTCACCCCTGAGTCTGGGAACAGCGTGTGCTCCCCACCCTGCCCCTCACTGCCACCTCGAGGCCATGGTTCTTAGCGGCATGCCTGCTGGCCAGCAAAACACCCAGGACAGGGGAGGACCCGGTGCGGGGAGGGGACAGCAGGCTGCCACAGAATTGCGTTTTCTTCCTCCCTGTGCTCCAGGTAAATTTGAGCCACCACTGTTTCACCCGAACGTGTACCCTTCGGGAACAGTGTGCCTGTCCATCCTCGAGGAGGACAAGGACTGGAGGCCAGCTATCACGATTAAGCAGGTATGGGGTGTGGGGAGCTGGCCTCAGCCTTCCTGTGGGGCCAGAGGACGGTGGTCTGCCTCCAAAGCTGGGGCCGAAGTCCTAGGAAAGCTTGCCTTCCTAACCACTGAGCTCCGTGTTCTTTTGTCTCTTACACAGATCTTGTTAGGAATACAGGAACTTCTAAATGAACCAAATATCCAGGACCCAGCTCAAGCAGAGGCCTACACGATTTACTGGTTAGTACTGGTCTGGCCCCACTCGCTGTGGCCGCACGTTGGCTTGCATGCGCTTGGCTGGAAATCCTGTCCAGGCTGCCGCCCCTGGCGGTCTGCTTGGATGGCCCTGAGCCTCGAGCCGTGAGCGGGGGACCGAGTGAGGTGGTCAGGGAAGCATCTGAGGCCAGCAAGCAAGCAGGCAGGCCCTGTGGGCAGCAGCAGCTCCGTGTGTGAAGAGCCTGTGGTGGGCGAGAACGGCTGACCCGGGCTAGTGTGACCACAGCGCTGTGGTAGGGGGGCGGTGAGGAGGTGGAGGTCAGGGGACAGGGCTCCCATTGGCTCCTTTGCCTGATAAGCTGTGGCCAGGCAAACCAGGTGTCTCGGTGAACCCCAGTCCAGCTCAGAGGGCAAGGCCCCCAGGTGTGGGTGCCGAAGGAGGCATGTCCCGTAGCATGGCTCCGCGGGGGCCCCACACCCCCCACCGTGGCCCTCCTGCAGACCCTTCCAGGCCTGGGTGTGGGCTATAGGGGAGCAGCACGCCTGGCTTGTTCCTGGTCACCCAGCTGCCATGATGTGCCCACCAGATGCCGGGCGTTCACTCCTCGTCCCAGCCCTTCCTGCGTAGCACTGTGGTGCCCGCCTGGGCTGAGGGAGGGAGGCCTGGGGTGGCTCATGGGGAGCAACAGGTTTAAACCCATGGGCCTGGCCTGGTCAGCAGCAGGGAGAGCCCTTGCCCCTGAGCAGAGGCCTCACAGTTGTGGGTCCTGGGTCCCCTGGCTGTGCCAGCCGGCCTCCTGGGCTGGTCTGGGTGGAGGTCCTTATGCCAGGTTGGGGGCTCTGACCCCCCACTGCTCTACATTCGGAAACCTGGGACCGGCGGGGCTAGCATACAAGGGAGAGGCCGGGCAGGGACGTGTTCCTTCCAGGGGATGTTTCTGGAATCAGCCGTGCTGAGGGTCAAAGCCGAGGTCGGGACTGTCCTGTGGCCGCTCTGGGCAGTGGCAGATGACATGTCCGGGGACCAGCTGAGAGAAGTGCCAGGTTGCAGGAGATGCATTTCTCCCCCCCAAAATGGCTTCAGGGCCCTAGGCCCAGGCCAGTGTTGGCCAGGGGCAGCAGGACGCTCCAGCCAGGGCGGGCCCGCGTCCGCAGTGGGGCTCAGCGGGAGGCCACGTGTCCCGTTGGCGGCTGTGCACCAGCGACTTCGGAGATCTGTCCCCCTGCCCTTCTCCCCGACCTGGGTGCTGTGTGATGTCACCGTGACCTCCGTCCACAGTGGCGCCGTGGCCCAAGCCTCGTGGTATACAAGGCCTCTCAGGACACACCACGTTCTCGTGACCAGGTGGCCTGCAAAGCTGAGCTCCCCGTGGCCTTCAGAGGGCTTGCTGGTCCTGGCGTGCGCCTCGTCACGGGTGACGTGTGCAGGGGCTGGCGGTGGCCACCCCGTGAGCGGCGCTTCTGTGCCTGCGCTGCCAGCACTGGGGCAGCGGGACCGGGGGCTCGCTGTGGTGCACCGGGCGGCGCGGCGGGGTATGCGGCCACTTCCCCGGGGCTGCTGGCGTCTTCCCCGCCCCCGGGCGCCTCGCCGCCAGTCCTGTCACGCCCTCGCTCCCCTCTGAGAGCAACTGGAGCACGTCAACGTGGTGTTGGGGCTGCCGCAGGCCGCAGCGCCTCCCCTGCCGGACGGCACGGTTGACGCGGCTGCCGCTGCCCTGCGGCCTCGGGGCCGGGCCTCAGACGGGTGTCCTGTGGCTGCGACTCAGCTCTCGGTGGCCCAGGCACGTGGCTGCCTCAGTGGTGCACACGCTGGAGCCTCTTGCCAGCTGAGGGACGTCCTCTCGGGGGCCCTTTGTCCCTCCACCTCAGGAGCCCCTGCACACGCCGGGGCCTGGGCCACAGGTGACGCGGAGCAGCACCCTGAGAGGTGTGTATGGAAAGAGCGCAGCTTGGCGGGACCCCTAGCTTCCTTACGGGGAGCAGTCCACACCCCCAGGCGGGTGTCCCCACGTGCACACACTGGTCCTGGGCTCCACGGAGGCCCTGTTGACCCCCTGGGGCTCCCCGGGGAAACCAGCACGAGTCCGGTCCGTCTGTAGCAGAGACTAGAGCCCAGCAGCCTGGATTTTCTTTCTAGAACGATGGTAGCTGCTTCCAGCTTAGGGACCCGTAAGTGTCCGGCTGCCCCCCGGGCCTTCCTGATCAGAGGCCGCCCTCTGAGCCCGCTTTGCATCCGGTGTCGCCCTGGGCCCTCGAGGGGGCTGCACCTGCTGACCTGTCTCTCTCTTGACCTCCTCCTCAGCCAAAACAGAGTGGAGTACGAGAAGAGGGTTCGAGCACAGGCCAAGAAGTTCGCACCTTCATAAGTGGCGACCGTGCGGCAGCGTAAGAAGGAAGGGATTGGTTTGGCAAGAACTTGTTTACAACATTTTTGCAAATCTAACGTTGCTCTGTACAGTTACTAGTCACCTGGGAGGGTGGGCGGGCGCCATTTTCCATTTCCGCCACTGGCACGCAGTCCTCGACTCGCTGAGCTGCCCGGTTTTTCATACAGGGTCTCTTCCTTCAGTCTTTTGTATTTTTGATTGTTATGTAAAACTTGCTTTTATTTTAATATTGATGTCAGTATTTCAACTGCTGTAAAATTATAAACTTTTATACTTCGATGAGCCCCGAGGAGCTAGTTTCCTTTGCTCGCGGATGCAGGCATGCTTCCCACCGTGTAGCAGTACACATAGCCTCCCGCCGGCCCCCCTCCCGCCTCGCTCCCCGCAGAACCCGGGTTGTGTTGCTTATGAGCCTCAGATCCAAAGGCAGCCGGCGTCTCGTTTCCGCATCACTTCCTTTGTGTTTATATGGCGTTTTGTCTGTGTTGCTGTTTAGAGTAAATAAACTGTTTATATAAAGGTTTTTGTTGCATTATCGTCATTAAGAGCGTGAGGAGGGCCTCGCGGTGCCCGGCCCCCCACGCGGCTGCAGGCCCGAGAAGCATGGCTCGCTGCTGTGCTCGGCCGCGCCTGGACCCGTGTGCGCTCGGCCTGGGCTTCTGTAAATAGTGCTGTGTGCAAGGACAGCGTGTGTCCAGGGCCTGGCCCCCCGTCCCAGGTCTTTGGGCTGCGCACAGAGCAGATGTGGTCAGGTTGGAACAGGCGTCAGGAGCCATCTAAAGCTGGCGCGGGCCGGACCCAGCCCCAGGGAAGACTGCGTGCTGGCAGCTCCCCCTCGTCCTGGCACCTGCTGGAGCCCGCCTCGGGGGGCCTGCGGTCTCCGGCTGCCCGCCCAGCCCCGCCGGCTGCCCCAGGAGCTTCCTGTGCCTGCTGCGCTGCGCCGGCCCCCACCCCGGGTGCGGGCCGCCTGGCGTCAGGACAGACGCCCTGGAGTCCGGTCTGAGGCCACCGTGCACAGGCGCTTCTTTTTTCCTGAAAGACTCTCAGCCCAGTCCACCTGCGGGGCTGTTCCCTGAAACCTGAGCCCACTGCACAGCTTCCCGAAGTCGGCTGCCTGCTCAGTTGGGAAATGGGTCTGGGTCCCGGCTCAGCCGCGAGGTGCCCTAGACAGAGACAGGGAGGAGCGGCAGGGGCCGGGCCCGGTGAGCACAGTGCCCTGCACCAGCTGACCTCGCCTTGCCACCCTGGGGACCCTCGCTTTCCCAAGCGGGTCACCTGTGGCTCCAGCACACTGACCGAGCCAGGGCGGGAGGGCTAGTCGCCAGGACCCTCGGTCAGGAAGGGCATGTCGACGCGGCCCAGCAGCAGGACGGCAGCGGAAGGTGGAGGTGGCCTCCTACGGCCCCTCAGCCACAGTACGTGCGTGGCTCCGGGTCCCAGTGCCTTGCTCACTCGCTTAGCTGGACATTTAGCGGAGCTAAACGCTTGATGTTGGTGATTTCTAATGCAGAGGGCCTTCCGGAGGCTCAGCTGGGTTGTGTGTTTGTAGCCTCTCCCAGAATGTCTTATTTTGTAATGACTGAGCTACACTTAGTAATAGCTGCACATGTATATGGTTAATATATATGGAAATTCAATATATTTTCTAGTTGGAACATTCTAAAGTAATCGATGTTTCTAGCAAATTGTCATGATTTCAACTAATGAAATGTCCTTTTGTGCCACAGTCCTTGGCTTAACAAAGATGTGACTCTTGTGACAGGAGAAGTATGGAATGTGTCCATCCTGTTTCTGATGTGAGGGAAGAGCGTGTGTTCCCAGCATGAGGCGCCTAATAATTAGTAAGGAATTGTGGGCAATACATTAACCACTGTATCTAAGAATCCTCTGATTAAAAACATTTCCACAAACTGCTGCCTGCAGGCTGTGTCCTTTTCCTGCCCCGCCCCCCACGCCCCCCCCCCCCCCCACGGCCACCCCTGCTACCTCTTCCCCCTGGTCTCTGGCTCCAGACCCTCAGGGTTCCGCGGGGGGCAGGGGCTGGTGACAGGGTGGGACACCCCCTGTGATCCCCTCTGAGCCCAGGCACACATCCTGTGCTGGCCTTGGCCCTGTGGCCAAGTCCCCCTGCATCTCCCAGCCTCCCGGATCAGGGCGTCCCTCCTGGGACCCCGAGCTGTCCTTCATGCCTGGGGTGGGCCTCTTCAGGGGGCGCCCAGCTGCATGTGAGTCCTCAGACCCCAACAGTGTGTCCAGGACTGGCTGGGGCTCGGGCCTGGCCTTGGGGCTCCTCGGAGAACCTGCCCACGGGCGGACGGGCTATGGGTCCCCGAGAGTCCCCCTGGCCTCCCTGGACAGTCCTGCCCAGGCCAGAGCCGCACCCTCACACCTGTCCACCGTGCAAAGCCGCCTCCTTCCCTGACTGGGCTGCCCAAAACCCTCTGCACGTATCAGGCTCTGCAGATGGGCAGCCTCCATTTTGAGGTTGCCATGACAACACGTTGCCAGGTTGGAGGGCCGGCGCTGAACACTGACTTGGGCCAGCTCGAACCGGTCTGAGCCTGCTTCAGCAGGGAGGGGCCTGAGAAATGGCTGGTCCAGGATCCATCCCCAGCAGACCCGGTGCTGAGACTGGGGGGTATCCTGTTGCCGGGGCCCACGAGGCTCATCTGGAGTCCTCCAGACGCTGGGACCCCATCTGCGGAGGCCCTGGCCCTGCCCGAGGGGGCTGGCTTAGGACCATGGGGCGGGATGGGGCTGGAGCACCAGTCCTATCCACCCTGCTGTCCCCAGACCCTAGGAGTTCTGCACCTGTCAGGAAGTTGCAGGCCCAGGGCCTGGGTTCTCCCTCCCTGACCTCTTTCCTTCCAGGGCACCTACCCACCCCGTTCTTGAAGAGAGGGGCCCTTGGTGCCCATGCTGCCCCTCCCACTCTCGGAGCCGCAGAACCTGGCCCCGCCCCCCGCTGTGCAGAGAATGATGCTGGGTACTCAGCTCCCCCAGCTCAGCCTCCTGATGGGTACGACCTTTGTCCCCTCCAGGGCCCCTCACAGAGGGCTGAGTGTAGGAGGGGCCTTGCTGGGAGGTGGCCCCGCGCACTTGCCTCTGGGCCAGATGCCGATGGGCAGGCTCAGTGGACAGTGGACAGCACTCGGCGGCCAGGTGGCCGGCCCTCACGGAGACCTGCGGAGCCCTGTGTGGTTCCGCTGCTTCGCTCCCACCCCTCCCCGAGCCCCACAGAAACCTCAGCCACACAGTTGCTCCCGAGCCTGAGGCCCAAGACCACCCTGGCCCGGCGCAGCCTTCATCTGTGCACGTGTTGGCTTCCCATGTCGTGGCCCCAGAAGCAAGCATTTCAGGTGAGGGGCCAGACCCCCTCCCACCTGGGACCCCCTCTTCTGGCAGACCCACCCAGATGGCACAGGCAATGGGACCAATTCCTGCAGTCCCGAGTGTCCTGGCCCAAGTCCCTGGGCCATGCCCCCGCCATTCTCCATGGCTGCCCCCCTCTTCACACCTCTGACTGGTGCCCAGGTGCAGCCCGCCGGCTAGCAGTTCTGCCTGCAATTCCAGGGGCTGCCACCAGAGGGCATAAGGGAATGAGGTCAAGCGTCTTTTTTTTTTCTTTTCTTTCTTCTTTCTTTCCTTCTTTCTTTCTTTCTTCTTTCTTTCTTCTTTCTTTCTTCCTTTCTTTCTTTTCTGTCTTTCTTGTCTGTCTTGTCTTTCTTTCTTTCCTTTTCTTTTCTTTCCCTCCCTCCCTTCTTTTCTCTTTCTTAGTAATCTCTACATCAACCTGGGGCTCGAACCTACACCCCCGAGATCAAGAATTGCACACTCCACTGGCGAGCCAGCCAGGTACCCCAAGCGTCTTTAAACCATGAGGGGTGGTGTGGCTTTACAGAGATGCGCTCTCACCTCCCTGCTCTCCAGCGGCCATCCAGAGCATCACCCCAGCAGAGCCTGGGGGTTTTCTCCTGGCCCTGAGGAGGGAAAGCCGCGTGCCCCTGCCTGCCCAAAGCCCAGAGGGTGTGAACCCCACCTCCCCACCAGCCCTGCCGAGCCTGACCCCTCTGGGTGAGGTGTTTTGTGCCCCAACTCCTGCTGTGACATATTCTTGCTCCACGTTGCCCCCTCCCCCACCCTCTCCCCTTGCTGTGGGGTCATCCCCCCCACCTACGGAGGTGGAAACTGAGCCCCCCGAGGGCCAGCCATGGCCACGGTCCCCACCCCATGTGGACCCAGAGGGCGTGCAACTGACACTACCCAGTACTGGCTCCTCACTGAGACACCCCCCTCGCTGAGGGGTGCATGCTGCTGCTATGTCCATTCACAAACAAAAGGGAAACTGAGGTCCAGGGCAGCAGAGGGGTGTGACAGGGCAGGGGTCTGACCTAGGTGGGGAGGAGGATGGGACTGAGCAAGAATGGGCCCATCTCTCCCTCCCCAGGAAGTGTCTGTGCATGGAGGGTCTGGGGATCTTTTCCTGGGGAAACTGAGGCCCAGGGCTGGGCTCAGCACCCACCCAGTTGCTGTGTGGCCCTGGAAGAGCCCTTCCCCTCGCCATAGTTTTCTTATCTGTCAAAGAGGGTGGTGAGGTCTCCCAACAGGCCTCCACCCCAACGGCCACAGGGCTGGGGCTGGGGCCTCTGTGCTGCTGGCCCCCAGCCCATGCTCCCCAAAGGACACTGAATGTAGGGGCCAGCAGGGGCCCCTCCTAACTTCCTGTTTATAGCAGCTGCAGGATCTCATCTCCACCCCAAACCATTATGATCACCATGGCAACCAGGCCTGTGTTTGTTCCAACAGGTTGGCAGGACCCGACGAAGGACTGCAGGGCTGAGGGGGCTTTGGGGGGGGGGGGCGTCGGCTCTGAGATCCTGGCTCAGGACCTGCCAGTCCCCAGGGGAGAACATCAGCTGCCCCTCCCCGATTCCTGTCCCGTGCAGAAGGCAGCCCCCACTCATCTCCATCCCAAGCAGTTGATGCGTGTTCCTGAGCACCTCTGTCCCCATGTGCCTAGCTGTGCTGGGCCTGGATGGAAGCAGCGCCTGCAAGCAGAGAGCTTCCAGAAGGAGAATCCACCCTGGTGGGTCCATGTCTCCTCCAGGGCAGCATGGAAATGTGTGGGTCTGCACCGAGGAGCTGAGACAGGTGGTGTCCCCATCAGAGCAGTGTCCGCCCCATCTGGGGGTGATGGGAGAAGTGCCAGGTCCCCCTGGGCTGGGGAGCCATGGCCCTGCTTTCCCCACACTCCCTCCCCCAACTCCGAGGAATGGGCGGGATGGGCCTGCAAGGCGGGATGTTCACAGCCTAGGGGCCAAGCTGCGGCCCAGTGAGCTGCTGTTCTGGTACCTGGGCCTCCACCTTTGGCCCGCAGCTCAGCCGACCCCTGGCCTCCCCCCAGCAAACCGTTCTTGCCTCTGTGTTCTGGGCCTTCCTTCCTCCCTCCCTCCCTCCCTCCCTCCCTCCCTCCCTTCCTTCCTCCCTCCTTCCTTCCTCCTTCCTTCCTTCTTCCTTCTTCTTCTTTCTTTCTCTTTCTTTTCTTTTCTTTTCTTTTCTTTTCTTTTCTTTTCTTTTCTTTTCTTTCTTTCTTTCTTTCTTTCTTTCTTTCTTTCTTCTTTCATTCTTTTTTTTAAAGATTTTATTTATTTATTTGACAAAGAGACACAGCGAGAGAGGGAACACAAGCAGGGGGAGTGGGAAAGGGAGAAGCAGGCTTCCTGCCAAGCAGGGAGCCCGACGCGGGGCTCGATCCCAGGACCCTGGGATCATGACCTGAGCCAAAGGCAGACGCTTAACGACTGAGCCCCTCAGGCGCCGGGTGGGCCTATTTCCCACACTGCCTGGGGCCCCACCATTAGAGATGAGGTCCTTGGGGTTAAAAACATTCCCAAATCGGTGGATCCCCTAAGTACAAGGTCCTCTGATGATCCAGCAGGATCGGCCAAAGGCAAGGTAGGGATTGGGAGACCCAGTGCACCTCAGACCTCCAGAACTTCTGAGCAGCCCCTGGGTGTCTTCCGGCCCCCCAGCACCCCCGGGAACTTGTCAGAAATGCAGCTGTTCCGCCCCAGCCCAGACTCTGGGAATCAGCAGCGACAGTCTGTTTCCACAAGCTCTCCAGGCAGGCACGGTGCGGTGCTCGCGCAAGCTTCAGAGGGCCGTCCAGGGTGGGCGACGAAGAGCGCAGGCCTGGAGGTTCCAGCTGGCTGTGAGGCCGGGGCGTCGGGGGCCTCCCCTGCGCCGTGCGGACGCTGACCCAACAGGTGACGGGGTGTTGCGGCGCGTCCTGGGATGATGCCTGCAGCACCCCTCGCCCCGGCGGCAGACTGGCGGCGGAGTTGATGCCGAGGTCAGAGCTTGGGCTGGGCGGCCCTTCCAGAAAAGTCTGCGCTGCGGCCGGGGCCGGTCTTCCTCGGTTTCGGCGACTTTGGCTTCCAGAGGGTCCCCGGGGGAGGGGGTCCTGACACAGCAGAACCTGCTCCCCGCTCTGCACCCACCCGTGGCTCCCTGGCCCGACTCCCCCGGCGGCGGGCGTGCGCGGTGCCGGGGTCGCGGGGAGGGGGTCGCAGGAGGGGCGGGCCGGGAGCGGCGGGGGCGGGCCCGGGGCGGGGCTATCGGCCAGGCCCCGCCTCCCGCAGTGCTCAGTTGTCCGCGCGGCGGCGAGCGCGCTGTGCCTGGCGTCCCTGGGAGCCGGTGCGGAGCGCGGCGTCTCCCGAGCCCCCGGCCCACGGTGAGTGCGCGGACTCCGGACGGGCTTCGGGCGCCGTCCCCTCCGGCCGCCGCCGCCGCCGAGCGCCCGGTCCTGCTCCTGCGTTTGCGGACCCCGAGGGTGCGCGGGGAGGCCCCCGAGGAGAAGGGCGGCGGGAGGTGGGGAAGGCGCGCCCCCGGCTCCGGGGAAACTGAGGCCGGCGCGTGCTCGGAGCGACGGGTCTCGGGCGCTTCTCTCGGCCCGCGTCCCCGGGAGCGCCGGAGCTGGCGGGGATGGGGGGTGCAGCAGGACGCCCCTCCGACCCCGGTGCCCCCACCCACCTGCGGCCTCCGAGGACCTCAGAGACGCTCCGCGGGGGCTCCCGGGCAACACGCAGATGTCCCCGGCGCCCCGTCCCTCCCTCCCTGCCGCCAGTCGTCAGAGGACCCACGAAATCGTCTCCACGAAATCCCTCCAGGGGCCGGAACGGTATAAAACAATGCGCACTCACCAGGCTTCTAAGCCGCCCGAGGACCCCCCGCTCATCGGGGAGGGAAAGACCTCGACGGAACTGGGGGGGGGTCCGAGGCTTCTAAGGGGAGCATCGAGAGGGAGGAGCGGGGAGGGGAGGGAGCGGCGAGAAGGGATGTTGGTGAGCGAAGTGGGCGGAACACCGCCGTGGAGACAGGTGAGTACAGGCCCGGGGGAGGGAGCCTCGGAGGAAGATCGGACGGAGGGGTTTCATTTTTCGTGCGTTCATTCTAGAAGTATCTGGGTAGCCCTTTACAGTTGATCCCACGCGTCACAGGGCTTTAGGTCCGGCTCTAGAGCAGCTTACAATGCACGTTCCCAGGCCCTTCCCGGGCTCTCAGGGAGCCGCATTTGTAATGGGCCCTGGGGCTACTGCTCTGAGGCGTACTGGGAGCACTGGCTGGGGAGCCGCCGGACATGACAGCCGGAAATCCAATAGGAAAAGTGAAGGGAGGGGGGTGGGAGGGGGACTGGGAAGACAAGACCACGACGGTGACAAGGAGACCAGCATGTGGGACCAGAGATCCTGTCACTCCCCCTACACACCCAGGGTAGCCGCAGGGGACCCCTGCCCCCAAGTCTCAAGGGACCAACTCTGGGTAAGAAGAGACCTAGTGTTCTGAGATGTTTATCATAAAGGTGTTCATTCACTCTGCGGGTGACCAGCTGGCCACAGGGGACACTGGCGAGGGAGACAGATCTGGCTCTCTGGCACAGCTCAGCTGCCCCCAGACCCACCTGCTTTGGTGCCACCTAAGCCCCCAGGCGGGCTAGCAGGAGACAGTGTGGCTTAGAGCGCTCAGTTTGAGTCCTGGCTCCAGACAGGTCACCCCAGCCCCGGGGTGTGAAGTGGGACAGTGATACCCACTTTGCAGGATTGCCTCTTCCCATTTAACCTGGGCCTTGGGGACAGCCAGGGGACAAGGTAGGCCTGTTAATGTTGGCTTGGTCCCAGTGCCAGTGTGGCATTCAACGCCTCGGCCAGCCTCACCTCGCCCCTTGGACAAACAGGAGCTGGGATCCTGGCCCTGGTGGCCAGGCGTGAGCAAGGATGTGGGCACATCTTGTTCTCTGCTGCTGCCCAGGCCCAGTGGGGACAGACACAGAGAGAGCTCAGGGAGGAGTTCTGTTGGGGGCCTGGTAGACAGATGGAGTGCCCCTGTGGCCCGCAAACGCTTCCTGGGGGTCAGCTGCGCACCCACTGCGGTGCGGCTCTGGGCGAGGTGCTGGCTGGCTCCCGGGACCCCCAGGCCATGGGGAGCAGCAATATCAGTATCCAAGCAGTGGGGGGTTTCCAAGGAAATCGGAGGAGTGTCTGGGCACGCAAGGAGGAGCCATCTTTCCCAGATACCTGTGCCCAGATGTCGCTTTTGCCCCAGTCCAGTCAAGGGGCTGAGGGAGGGAGTGCCGCAGAGGGGGAGGCCAGCATACCTGGACCCCAGAACTCAGGACGTGCCAGGAGCTTAGAGCTTGGACACCAGAGTCAGAGGTGGGCTCCATCCCTGGCCACTTGCTGGCTCTGTGGCCTTGAGTAAGCTCCTAAGCCCGGGGCCTCAGTTTCTCCAGGTAGATGAGAGGAGCAGAGCAGTACCCCCTTTCCGGGGCTGAGATTATGGGGCAAGGTGGCTCCCCCTCTGTCTTGAGTGTTTTATTCTCACAGAGGCACCCTGTCCCTGCAGCCACTTGGCTCCTGCGTCATGTTTGTCTCTGGGACTGTGAGCCCCTGTAGCCCCTGTCACTCGGCAGACGCAATTGGCGGTTGCCCTGGCAACAGCCAAAGCAGTGGCTGCTCCCCTGGCTTTGGGGGGCTGCGGGGGTAGCAGCCTCTTCCCCACAGCTAGAGAGGGGAAGGGGGGTCCTGGTGCCCGGCCACCTCGGGACCTCACTGCTGACGACAGGGGCGACAGCTTGTAGGACTGCATGCTCACGCTGCCGCGCCCCCCCTCCTCATATCCCCCCATCTTTGCAGGGGGCTCCCAGGGGCAGGCAGTGGTCAATGTGAGGAAGGCGGGACCTCATTTCAGGGCGTGAGCCAGCTGCCCTTTCTGTCCCCAGCTCTCAAGCTGGTCAGATGAGACCCTCTGAGCCCAGCACTCCCTGGGGCTCCATCAGGGAGCAGGCTAGGGTGCTGTCTGCAGGGGTAGCCTGAGCCGGTCGGGGGGTACAGAGCAGGGATGGCAGCCCTGGAGCCATGGAGAGACAGACCCAGCGGGGGGGCAGGGATTGGTTTGTTCGACAGAATCTATTTAGGACTCGGGAGGTGCCCGGCATGCCCTGGCTCTAGCTCTCCCAACGGGGCATAAGATGCTGAGAAGGAGGTAGCAGATGTTCACTAGAGACTCACAGGGATGCGGGCATGATCCCTGGGACGCTGGCCTGGACACACAGGGCAGGGGTGGGGCTCTCTGGGCTCTCCCACCACTAAGCGCCCATGGAATCTGGGTCAAGAATAGTTGTACCCAGCTGAGTTCCCCGTTCCTATTTTGTCAGTGAAATCATAGTGTTCCTCTGCACGGGTCCTAGAGGTCCCCCTCAATGAGTGGACAAGTGAGCTCTGCGAAGAAAGGGGACCAGGGCAGTGAGTCCAAAGGCCCTGCGGTGCACTGAGGGGAGTGTGATGCGTGCTCTACACAAGAGGCTGGCAAGCCTGGGGCAGGGAGCCCAAGGGGTGGGCACCGAGTGGAGGATTCAGCCTGGCCAGGGGGTCGGCACTTTGGCGGTTTTCAACAGGGGCGCAGGAGACTACCCTGGGGTTTTGGGGGAGGCACAGGTTGTTGCCTGGCCCAGGCGAGAGGTGGGGGCCTGCGGCAGCTTCGTGGTCCCCCCACCCTCCCCCCCAGGTCTGCAGGGGACCCTGGATCCCCTGGAGAATGCGAACCGGTGTGACGGTGGCTGGCAGGGACCAGCAAGGTGTCCCCCACGACTCGGAGATGCTCATTTCTGAGGGCCCCAGCTCAGCCCCTTGCAGGGCTGCAGGCTTGCTGTCCAAGCCTGTCCCCCACACCCCACCCCAGGCTCTGTCTGCACAGAGCAGAGTGACCAGGCCTGAGCTGGCTTCAGGAGGTGCACCAACAAGGGGCGCCTTGGCCCAGGCTCTAGTCTGTGCCACAGGGCCCATCCCTGTCCCAGCCATGACATCTGGGCTGCTGCAACCCAGACAACATGGGGCTGGTTCCCAGATGGGAGAGGGACAGGGAGTGGTGGCCCCACCCCCCAAACTTCTGAGGAGGGGCAGGACGTGCTCCATAGTTTCATTTCTACTGATTACAGGTAGCAGGCTCTTGTCTGCAGGGTAGCCCAGGGAGTGAGGATGGGGCATTGCCCTGGCCCTGCTTGGTGGGCCAGGACCCCCAGTGGCCCCTCCTGTGCATGCTGACCCCTCGGAGTCAGCCCCACTGGCCCTTTCTGGCCCAAGCTCCTCTGCAGGACAAGGATGCTGGGGTTCCCGAGGAAGGTTTGGCCTCCTGCAGGAGCTTTGTTGGCCCTGGCCCCAGACTGGACCTTCCAGTCTGGCTGACCTGGGCACCCCTCCCCCACAACTCTGTCCCCTTAGCAGAGCCCCCGGGAGACACAGGCCCTTGCTGCTGAGCTGTCCTCGGACCCCAGGGACACAGCCAGGGGATGTAGCCCTGGATGGGTGGCAGGTGGGGTGTGGCAGAACAGGCCCCCCTATGTGGTGGACTCCAGCAGTTCCCAGCAACGGAGCGCGGACTGTGCCAGGCACCACCATCACCTCTCATGACCCCATCCCATCCCCAGATCCACCCAGCAGGGATGCCCCATTTTGCAGATGGGCCATGAAGACTTAGAGAGACCAAGGGACTGGCCCCCTGGGTGCCCAGTGCAGTCCAGCAGCGGGGCTGAGCTCCAGGGAGGCTCAGGTGCCCCCTCCTGCCCCACCGGGAACCTGCGCTGGCCGCCAGAAATGCAGCTACTGTCAGTTTCTGGCTCATTCAATCATTGCTGGATGTGCACCTGATGTGATTACTGGGGCTAGCACAGCAGAGCTGCCAGCTGGTGGACATCCAGAGGCTCTCTCCCACAGATCACCCACCATGACGACCTTGCTGGAGATCAAGAGCAGTGTGCTCAGGCAAGTGCAGGTGCGCCCGTCCTTCCGCCGGAGGACCGAGGGAGAGCCTGGGAGCACCAGCACTGACCCACAGGAGCCCACCGCGGGGGCTTGGTGGGTGCCCCACGCCTGATCCCGTACAGTCACGTGCACCTGGCTGCCCTCCTCTTGCTGGACCCCACTCTCCCGCTTCCCCCGACCTCCGGGGGAAGCCTGGGGGAGTGATACCAAGGCCAGAGGGTGGGGGGGGGGGCCACACTGTGGACATCAGACTGGGCCCTCGGCCGTGTGGAGACCCAGGCAGTCCCCTCAAGTTGTAGGGCCTGGTGGCTGGCCTTGGGCAGGGGACAGGTGCGTGCTGTGAGCCCTGAGCTTCAGGGAGCGTTCGCTGACCCTCAGCCTGGCCTTTCTCTGCAGGAAACCTGGGGATGGTGTGGAGTTCTTCGCGCAGATGCGCCTTATTCTGAAGAAGGGGGAAGGCAGACAGAGCCTGCCGTGCCCCGAGGTGAGGACAGCTCGGAGCTGCTGCCCAGTGTCGGGGCACCATGCTGGGCCTTCCCCCAGCCCCCTCTACACCAAGCCCCCACCCTTCAGCTCAACTCCCTCCCTCCCTGGAGTGTCCCCACAGGAGGCCCTCACCCTAGTGCCCCTCACAGGTCCTCTTGTGCAGTGGTTCACCAGCCCCTGCTGAGCCTGTGGACCCCAACCGTGGCCTGAGAGCCCTAACCCAGGAGGAGGTAAGGGGGATGGGGTTCTGGCCCAGGGAGAGTCTAGGAGCACTTCCTGTATGCCAGGCCCAGGTTCTAGGGACAGGCGGACAGCAAAGGTGGCAGGGGTGAGGGCCAGGACTTCCCATGGAAGCCAGTAAGGAGCAGAAGTTGGGGGTCAGACCAATGGAGGGCCCAGCTGGTGCAAAGGTACCAATGCTGGGACCAGACTCTGCCAGTGGGTGGAGCTCCTGGGGGCTGGGATGCGGGGTGGGAGGGGAGGGGAACCAAGGTGCCTGGACCCCCAGTGGCCAGGGCTCAGGGCCCGGGGCTGAGGCGGACAGGGGTGGGGTGGCTGGGACTCAGGGTGCACCCCGCTCCCCGCCCGCAGGTGGAGATGCTCTATGAGGAAGCCCTGTACACAGTCCTTTACCGTGCAGGGACCATGGGCCCTGACCAGGTGGATGACCAGGAGACCCTACTGGGCTACCTGCAGCAGGTGAGTCCCACTGGCTCCGTGCCCCCTGCTGGCCCGGCCCCACCCTGCTCTGGGGAAAATGGAGACCACTGTCTCTCCCAACCCTGTTGTCTGCCTGGTGACGTCACCATCACCCAAATAATACAGGCTTGCCTCACATACAGAACACCCCCCCACACACACACATGTGTGCACAGGCAGACATACATACAGGCTGATAGGCATGCCCGGAAGGATGGAGCGATGGAAAAACACACAGACACACAGAGAAGGGTAGAAAGAGTAAACTAACAGAGGAACAAACACACAGGATGGATGGATAGACAAATACATCTTTCCTCCTCCCCTGGGTGTGTTTCCTCTGCTCTGTGAGGCCCCCGGGACACTGGCCAGCCCTGCTTTGGGGGTCCCTGGGCCCTCACACCTGCCCACCCTCTACAGGTGTTTGGTATCAGCCCCGAGGAGCACGCCGAGGCCATTGAGCGTGTGAAGAAGGCCAAGGTGAGGCTGCCACTTGGTCTGGGCAGACGCTGACCAGCCACAGTGCTAGGGCTCAGGGGTGGAGAGGACACAGACCAGGGCCCTGTCCTGGCCACACGGAGCCTCCTTCAGGAGGCCCCTCGGCACCTTTGGCCCACAGGCCCCCACGTATGCCCTGAAAGTCTCTGTCATGCGTGCCAAGAACCTGCTGGCCAAAGACCCCAATGGTGAGTGGGGACCAGCCAGGAGTTTGGCTGCGCCCAGGCCTGGTGGCCGTGGAGGGACCGTGGAGGGATGCGGTTGGGGGGCCTGGGACTGGGGACTGAGGCGCCCGCGGTGTCTCAGGCTTCAGTGACCCATACTGCATGCTGGGCATCCTGCCGGCCTCGGGCGCCCCGCGGGAGCCAGGCCCGCACAAGGAGCAGCGTTTCAGCTTCCGCAAAGGCAGCAAGCGTGGAGGCCCACTGCCGGCCAAGTGCATCCAGGTCACCGAGGTCAAGAGCAGCACCCTGAACCCTGTCTGGAAGGAGAACTTCCTCTTGTAAGGCCCCTCTTCCAGCCGGGTGGCAGGGTGGTGGGGGAGAGGGGCTGCCTGCTACGCCAGGACGCGTGCCATCTCAGAACGGAGCAGGGCTGGTCATAGGACCGCCTTCCAGAGGACATCATCACCTCAGAGTGAGGTGCCACACAGTCAGGATTCAAATCCAGACAGCCTGTCTTACAAGCTGGGGCTCATGGACCCCTTCCGGCAGCTCTTGAAATGGTCCCTCCCCTAGCCCTGGGCAGAGGATCATCCTGCACCCTCTGGCCATCTCTCTGTTTTCCTTATAGTGAGATTGAGGATGTCAGCACGGACCAGCTGCACCTAGACATCTGGTATAGGCCCCTGGGCCCTGCAGGGCAGGGGGTGTGGGTGCACCTGGTCTGGGGGGGCGGTGTGGCGGTGAGAGGGGACATTCAGGGCCCAGCCAGGCCCCAGCCAGACGAGGTTTGCCCTCTTGCCCCACTCCTAGGGACCATGATGATGATGTGTCTCTGGTGGAAGCGTGTAGGAAGCTGAATGAAGTCATCGGCCTGAAGGGCATGAGCAGGTATGACAGGTGGGATCTTGGTGCCCTCCAGACATGGGCCAGCAGGTGGAGGGACCCCAGGTGGGAGCCCACCCTGCTTTGCCCAGGTATTTCAAACAGATTGTCAAGTCGGCCCGTGCGAATGGGACAGCAGGGCCCACGGAGGACCACACAGATGACTTCCTGGGGTGCCTCAACATACCCATCCGGGTGAGTGGGGGCCAGGGCCTCGTTCCCAGAGCACGTTTGTGGTGTCTCACCCTCCAGGGACACTGCTGGTGGCTATGTCCTGTGATTCCCCCAAGCCACTCCCAACCTTCTTGGGCTGGGTGGGGGCACTGTGCTGCAGGGGAGGGGGAGGGAACAGCCTCCTGGGGCCTCTGGTGTCCAGGCACCCCGGAGTGCTCACCCTGTGCCGATGGCCTGTGTTCAGTGGGAAACAGAGGTCTGTGGGAGGGAGCAGGAGGAGATATTGCCAGTCTGAACCCCCTTCCCTTAGGAGGTGCCCGTGGCCGGTGAAGACCGCTGGTTCAAGCTGGAACCGCGTTCCAGTGCCTCCCGCGTGCAGGGAGACTGCCAGCTGGTCCTCAAGCTAATCACCACACAGGTGGGGGGCTGTGGGGTCCTTGCCCTCCATGCCGGCCCTACACCCCTGCCCGCGGGCTGGGGCAGGGCTGGTGATGGGCGGGCCTTGCATTCCAGAGGGACACGGGCATGAGCCAGCGCGGGCGGTCCGGCTTCCTGTCCTACATGCTGCTGCTCAGCCGTCTGCTGCAGTTCGAGCACCGATCGCAGGAGGTAGTCGCGCCCTCGGGGCCGGGGAGGGACAGCAGGGGAGGCTGGGCACCGGGGGCAGGAGGGGCTGGCGTCTCCTCCCTTCACTCACGCCTGCCCACCCCCTCCAGCCCAACTCTAGCGGCTGGCGCGGAGAGCTCAGCGGGCCCGCGGCTACCGTGCTCTGCCTGCACGGCGCGCAGAGCAACCTGTCTGCGCTGCAGCTGGCGGTGCTGTGAGTGGGCGGGGCCGCTGGAGGGGCGGGTCGCGGGAAGGCGAGGGGCGGGTGGGAGGGGCTGCGCGTCCCGGGGCGGGGCGAACGAGGGGGCGGGGTTATGGGAGGGAACGGGCGGCTAAGAGGGGCGGGCCCCGGGAAGGGGCAGGGCTGTGGAGATGGGACGGAAAGTGGGCGTGGTCATGGAAGAGGCGGGGTGCGCTGGGGTGAGGAGGGGCTTGGGAAGGGGCGCTGTGAGTGGCAGCAGCTGAGAGGGGCGGAGCTGGAGAGGTGGTGCTGCGAGGGGAGTGTCATGGGGTAGTGAGGGGGCGTGGCCTGTAGTGGGCGTGGCCACAGGTGGGCGGGACAGGCGCGGGAAGGAGTGCTTTGAGTGGGAAGGGATGGAACGGGGCGGTGCCGTAAGGGGATTGTGGGACGGGAAGGGGCAAGGAGGAGGGGCACAAGGGGTCTCCTGGGGGGTCGCAGCTCTGACTCCGCCCTGACCATGGCGGGGCTGGCCCCCCAGGCACTGGCAGGTCAGCAGCCGCCACCATCAGACCTGCACTCTGGACTATGGCTACCTGCTGGGGCTGCTGGAGGATATGCAGGCCCACTGGGAGGAGGCATCCTCCCTGCCCCAAGAGCAGGTGAGCGTGCCCTTGTCAGCTCAAAGTGCTGTTGCTGGAGGGTGTGCCGTGGGCTGCTGGCGCGCTGGGCAGACAGGGCGGAGGCCCACCCTCATGGGGCGCACGGCCTGCAGGGTGTGCTGGGCTTGAAAACAAACCTCATGATCCAGGGCAGAGCAAGACTGGGCAGTGCTGAGATAGGGGATGGGTTGGACCCAGGAGAGGGAGGTCGTGCCCTTCCCTTGGCTGGGGACAGAGGGAGTGGGCGCTGGCTGCTGGGCAGGGGGGACTGATGGTGCAAAGGCCCTGAGGCTGCGGGAGAAAGTAGCAGGGCCAGGCCGGTGGGTAGCTGCCGGAGGCCCTTGCAGACTGGCTAGGGCAGGGCACCCACTGGCTGGGGATGCTGCTGCCCCTGCCCCCACCCCGTGGGGCGGGCAGTGAGGGCCAGTTCTGACGGGCCCTGTGCCCCCAGGAGGAGAGCCTGGCTGACAGCTTCTGTGCCTTCTTGGAGTTTGGGCTGCAGCTGCTACGGCAGCTCCGAGACTACTTCCCAGCCACCAGCAGCACAGCCGTCCACCGCCTGGAGCTGCTGCTGAAGTGGGTGCAGCCGCCGGTGCTTGGGGTGGGCTAGGGCTGGGGCGGGGCAGCCCACAGTCAACGGGCGGCCCCTGTCCAGGTGTCTCAGCAAGATGCAGCTCTTCCAGCCGTCCTTCGAGATCTGCCCCTTCGAGACAGAGCTGAACATGGACATCGCAGCGGCTCTGAAGGTGTGTCTGGCCCCAGCTGCCCGCCCCACCCCGGCCCCAGGCTCGGCCTGCTCAGCCACTCTCTGCTGCCCTTTTAGCCTCCCCCATTCACCACACTGTCTCGGTGACTTGTCTTGCAGAGAGGCAACCGTGAGTGGTACGACAGGCTCCTGAACACCAGGAGTCCTCGAGAGCAGGTGCCGCTGGGGGAGGGCCTGGCCGCAGGGGAGGGGAGGGGAGGGGTCGGCCAGGAGGTGCAGGCCAGAAGGTCATCGTGAACCGGGCTTCCTCGCAGCCGGGGCCGCTGCGCCTTGCCGGGCTGGTGGAGCTGGCTGACACCGTCTACGAGGACCTGCAGTCCTGCTATGGCATCTACGCTAGCCTCTTCCACAGGTGGGGCCTCTGCCCCCAGCCCCTCATGATGCCTCCAGGCCAGGCGTGGGGCAAGCAGGTGTGTGGAATTTGTTCTTACAGCATCGTCGAGATCGACTTCTTCACCCTCACTTTCCGGCAGCTGGAGCGTCTGGTGAGGAGGGGGAGTGGGGAGAAGCCCCCCGCCGGCTGGGAAGGTGCCTCGGTTTCCTTGTTGCTGGCGGTCTGACTCCGCCATCCTGAGCAGGTGGCCGAGGAGGCATGGGTGCTGACGGAGGAGCTGAGCCCCAAGATGACCCTTGAGGTGGCCTCGGGGCTCTTCGAGCTGTACCTGACCCTGGCCGACATCCAGAGCTTCTGGAGCAGCATCCCCGGACGGTGGGTGCCCTGCCCTAGCCTGTCCCCTTTCCTCCACGCCCCCATCTGTCTCCGTCCACTACGGGTCTCCCAGGCCTGTACCCACTCCTCCCTGTCCCCCTGCCCAACTGTCCTCCAGCCTCCTCTAGGAGGCCTCTGGGACAGGATCCCGAGGGCCCTTTGAAGGAGGGAAGCTGGGATGTGCAGGCTGAAGGTGTTTGAGTCAGGGCGGGCTCTGACGGGCCTCCTGTTGCAGTGAGAGCCGCTCCCTTGCTCTGGCCGGCATCCATGCCCCCTTCCTGCCCGCCGTGAAGCTCTGGCTGCAGGTGCTGCGGGACCAGGCCAGGTGGAGACTTCAGGGAGCCGTGGATGTGGACACAGTGAGTAAGCACCCAGGCCTGAAGCTGCTGGGCTCAGCCAGGGCCTCCCTGCAACCCAGGCCTCCTCCCGCCCTCTTAGCTGGAGCCCATGGATGCCTCCTGCAAGCACAGCAGCTCCGCGGCCACTGCTAGTCTCTGCTTCAGTCTCATCCAGGAGCTGTGGGCCCGCCTGGCGTGGCCAGACCCTGCCCAGGCCCAGGCGCTGGGCACCCAGCTCAGCCAGGTGTGTGGCTGTGGGTTGCAGAGTGTGGTCTGGGAGGGGAGCAGGACCAGGGCCACAGTCCACAGCTCTGAGCCCTTGTGTCCCACCCTAGGACCTGTGCGAGGCCACCCTCTTCTACACTGAGCTGTTGCGAAAGAAGGTGGACGCTCAGCCCGGGGCTACAGGCGAGGCAGTGAGCGAGCCAGTGAGCAGGCTCGTGGGCAGGCGGGGGGGCGGAGGGCCGGTGGGGCCAGCACGGGGCTGCCCACGCACCACCCACGTCTGGCACGCCTCCCCAGCTCTGTGTGGTCCTCAACAACGTGGAGCTCCTCCGCAAGGCTGCTGGGCAGGCGCTGCGGGGTCTGGCATGGCCGGAGGCGACCTCAGCGCTGGAGGGGGCACTCCCGCGGCCTCTGCTCAGCTGTGCGCAGGCCCTGGACGAAGACCTGCAGCAGGAGGTCCACACCGTGACGGCGCACCTGACCTCCAAGGTGGGCAGGCGGGCAGGCTGGGGAGCCGGCTGCTCCATGCACTGCCGCTTGGTGCTGAGTGCTGCCGTCCCGCAGATGGTGGCCGACATCAGGAAGTACGTACAGCACATCAGCCTGTCGCCAGACTCCATCCAGAATGACGAAGTGAGTGCGCGGCCGGCTGAGGGTGTATGGGGTGGGGCCCAGGGGCTGTCTGGCGCTGAGGGTGCTGCCCGCAGGCCGTGGCCCCGCTCATGAAGTACCTGGACGAGAAGCTGGCCCTGCTGAATGCATCGCTGGTGAAAGAGAACCTGAGCAGGTAGGGCTCGGGGTGGGTGAGCAGCGTGGGGCCTGCAGTGCGGCCACTGACGCGGAGTGTCCCTGCAGGGTGCTGGAGGCCCTCTGGGAGCTGCTCCTGCAGGCCATCCTGCAGGCCCTCAGTGCAAACCTCGATGTCTCCGCGGATTTCTACGGCCGCTTCCACTTCACGCTGGAGGTAGGGCCGCGTGGAGGAGCCGTCCCTGCCGGGGCGCCTGGGCCTTTCCCGGCGGTCCCCGGGCCCCGAGGCTGCTGAGCACCCCTTTGCCCCTCTGCTGGGCGGCCTGGCCTTCCCAGCCCAAATGGCTCCTGCCTGCCAGCCCACCCGTGTCAGCAGCACCTGGCTGCCCCAGGCGTTGGCATTCCCCTCCCTCCCCCCCGGCTGGCCGGGGGGAGGTGGGGGTCTGGCTTCTGAGCAGCGGCGCTGGGTGTGAGAAGTGGCTCTGGTTCCACCCGTCTCAGCCTGCTGGCCTCAGCTGGTTCTGCCTTCTTGCCTTGCCCCAGGCCCTGGTCAACTTTTTCCATGCGGAGGGTCAGGGTCTGCCCCTGGAGAGCCTGAGGGATGGAAGCTACAAGGTGAGGCCTGGCCTGGGGGCCTCTGGCAGGAGGGAGGGGAGCGTGCACAGGGCCCGCACTCAGCACCCCTGCGCCCCGCAGAGACTGGAGGAGGAGCTGCGTCTGCACCAGTGCTCCACCCGCGAGTGCATCGAGCAGTACTACCTGGACAAGCTCAAGCAGGTAGCAGGGCCCAGGGGGCGCGCTCGGCCTCCCCCCGCCGCGGGGCCCCCCGAGCCCTGGTCACCAGCCTGAGCCCTTGCACAGAGGTGCCTGGAGCAGAACCGGTTCGGGCGCCTGAGCGTCCGCTGCCACTATGAGGCCGCTCAGCAGAGGTTGGCCGTGGAGGTGCTGCATGCTGCGGACCTGCCCCCACTGGACGCCAACGGTGAGGGGCCGCCGGTGGGCGGGGCGTGGGGGGCGGGCGGGCGGTGGTACTCATGGCGCCTTCTGGCTGTGCCCCTCAGGCCTGAGCGACCCCTTCGTGATTGTGGAGCTGGGCCCGCCACACCTCTTCCCGCTGGTCCGCAGCCAGAGGACGCAGGTCAAGAGCCGGACGCTGCACCCCGTGTACGACGAGCTCTTCTACTTGTGAGTGTCCTGCCCCCGCCCCCCCAGCCCGCCCGCGCCCGAGCGGGGCACCGGCTCCAGGTGACCGCCCCTCGCTTGCAGCTCCGTGTCGGCAGAGGCGTGCCGCCGCCGCAGCGCCTGCGTGCTCTTCACGGTCATGGACCACGACTGGCTGTCCACCAACGATTTCGCAGGGGAGGCGGCCCTCGGCCTGGGCAGCATCGGTGGCATAGCGCGGCCCCAGGTGGGAGGGAGCGCGAGGGCCAGGCAGCCCGTGACCCTGCACCTGCGCCGGCCCAGAGCCCAGGGTGAGTGAGGGTGCAGGGGTGGAGGGTCTGCTGGCGGTCGGGTCTCACGCTGGCCCCTGCCCTCCTGCCTGCCTGCAGTGAAGTCAGCGCTGAGGATGCTGGAAGGCCGCACCAACAAGGAGGCGCAGGAGTTTGTCAAGAGACTCAAGGAGCTGGAGAAGTGCATGGAGGCGGACCCCTGAGCCCCTCCTGCCCCAGGCCGTCCCCAAGTCCCTGCACCATCCTCACCCTGCCCTGCGGTCAGCTTTGTGCAGCCAGGGCTCGCTCCCCCCACCCTGCCGTGTGGTGTGCATGCTGCGGCTGGCCCTTCAGCCCCTCCTCCCTGCCCTGGCCCCGTGCGCTGTGTACTGTGAACCCCTTGCATCCAGCACCCCCCCCAACCTGGGTCTGGGGGACTACCTCGGTGGGGCCTGGCCAGCAGCTGTCCCCCTGGATGTGGAGCAGAGCAGGCCCGGCCGCCAGGTGAGCTTCCCCATCTGCTCCCTCGGCTTCCACGGCCCCCAGCAGGCAGGCACCGGTCTGAGAGCAGGGTTCTCAGTGGGGTGGCTCTGCTTCCGGGGAGACATTAGGCCGTGTCTGGAGGCATTTTTGGTGGTCACAACTACAGGCTGAGGGAGATCTTACTGGCACTAGTGGTGAGACCAGGGATGCTCTCCCCAGCAAAGATGGGCCACTCCCAGATGTTACAAGTGTCACGACAAAGAGCCCATCTTAGAGGAAGCCCTGTCTTCTCCTTCTGGGGCAGGGAGTGTGGCAGAGCCTTGCTGGCCAAGAGGCAGGAAGGCTCAGGTTTGAGTCCAGACCACGCAAGCTGGCAGGAAACAGCTCCCTGGGGCCCTGGCGGAGGGGAAGGTGGGCACCCGGAACCCTTCACCCAGAGAGCATATGGACAGGTTTGCTAAGAACTGCATAGGTCTCACTCCCCACCTGGCTCTGAGGCCTGGGAGAGGGTCCCCGGGTGTCACTGTGAAGCTGGGGACATCACGCAGAGTTGATAGGTCAGTGTACGGAGCTCCGTGCAGGCCACGCAGCCGTCCAGTGTATTCTCTGTGTCCACACACACCTGCCCGTGCCAGACCTGCCTCACGCCCTGACATCACCACAGTCCAGACGCTTCCCAGGCAAGCTCTGCCTCACTGGAGACTGAGAGTCATCCCCACACCATCCCCCCCATCCCCAGGTCAAGTGCAAAGAAAGAGGCTCACACTGGGGTCTCCTTGGCCTGCAGCTTCATTGGGAGGGCTGGAAGGCCCCAGAGCACGGCTGTGTCAGAAGCATGGGGACAGAGTCCAGTGCTGCTCAGTGCTGCGGGGGCTGAGGCTGCCAGGCCCGTCTGTGTCCCCACAAGTCCTGCTATGTCTCCAGTTCCTTACTGCTCCGCCATGAAAAGTAAACGTGTCTGCCACCTTTAGTCTCTCTGCCGTTTCTTAATTCCTTTCCAAACCTCTGCGGGGGCCCTGGCCTCTGCCCCCTGTTCCAGAGGACCCTCCTCCTCAGGGCAGCTACTACTGCTGTCTCCTCCATCCTCGGCACCAGGCCCTCGCTCCTCAGACTCGTCCTCACTGTCGCTGTCGCCACTGTCTGCAAGCAGCCTGGAAGGGAGAGGAGTGTTCACTATGGGCTCACTCACTCACAGAAGCCCCCAGCTGAGGGCAGATTCTCCTATTCCCCAGGTTCTTAAAACCAACACCTCTCCAGTGGGACCTCCACATTCCCTCTTACACAGTCACAAAACCCTCGTGCTGCTGAGGGATCCACCCCTCCTCCCCACCCCCGCTATCCATAGGAGGGGCTGAGGCCAGAGGCAGAGGAGAGCCCTGGGAAGCCCAAGGACCTACCGGGTGCCAGCCACTGGCCTGTTGGGGTTTGCAAACTCCCGCCCAGAATCCACGTCAAAAGGATCTGAACAGAGGAAGCAAGCAAGAAAGGGACCTATAGATGAGCTCAGAGCACAACCAAGCCCCCCAAATGCTGGTGTAGGAAGGCCCCCCCCACCCGGCTTCTCAACAGGAGGTGGCATGCCTGGAGGGTCCTGGCTCCCAACCAGGGAGCTTGTGTCCATGCCAGGCCTCACCGATTTCCTCCTCCTCGGGGCACTCCTTGGCGTGGGCCAGGAACTCCTCCTGGGCCCGCAGCACCTCCTCCGCACTGCTGCAGGCCGCGTATGTGTCCAGGAGCTGGCGATTCAGGTCTAGGAAGCCCTTGCCCCACTTGAACTTCCGCAGCAAAATGACAGCAAGGTCCGAAAAGCCTGACGGCGAGGACACCGGAAACCCAAGGATGTTGACAATACCTCTCCCATCCCAAGTGTGTTCTGAGCACCCTCAACGCTGTCCCCACACCTGAAACTCCCCATCAGACACCATCCTATGGTCCAGACAGCCTGCTTGCCCTCCTCTGCCATCCACGAAGGCCCTCTCCCCATGTCTCATGGGGCCGCCTGAGCCTCCACGGGGACCATACATTCTCTGAGGACAAGTTGAGGGGTGACAGAGGTGGGGCTGAAATCCTAGCCTGTCCACCGCGACCGCCCCACACACCCTCACATGGCTCTGGGAGGTGCCAGCAGAAAACCCATCGCTACCAGTGTAGCCAGACTTGGCAGCAGGCCGGCGCTCACCCAGGATGCAGAAGGTGGCGGCAAAAGCCTCCACACAGGACAGCTTGCAGGGCCGGCCGTAGTTGACGGGATTGGCAGCGACCAGGTGGGGCAGTAGCCGCAAGTGGCTCCCGCGCATCTTCCCAAACGGGGTCTCATCCAGTCGGGCCCAGGAACAGTCGATGACAGCGACCCCACTCTGTGCGACCAGCTGTCTGTTAGGAGCAAAGCAGGGCTAGGTTCTGGAGACCACGTCCCTGGAGACTGACCTCACAGGGATACAAGAACATCATTTCTCGGCCCCCAAGCACCCCCAACAGTGTGTGCTCCTGCAGCAGACTCCTTTATTCACTCGTTTACTGAGACCGACTATATCCTGCGCTAGGCAACGGGGGAAAACTAGACCAGTACACCTAGGTGAGCCCGGCAAGAAGGATGCGCCAGGGTCCCGGGCTCAGGGAGAGCACAGAGCCCAGGCAGGGACCCCGCCCGCTCCCCCCACCCGCGCCTCCCCGCTCCTACCTGTCCGCGGGGGACACGTACTGGGAGCCCATGGGGCTGAGCACAACGCCGCCGAACCTGTGGCCCAGACGCAGGCAGCGCACCATGCCTAGGCGGGCCAGCTTGCGGCCAGTGCAACGCCGGGGGTCGCAGTGGCCCAGTTCCCACATGGCCAGCGTGCAGGGTAGCCGCGCCGGGCCCGAGGTGCCCTCGTCCTCGGCCGCCTCTGGCTCCACGGACGCTGCACCGGAGACGGAAGGATACCGAGCCTCAGGCGCAGCTCGGGGGCCACTGCCGGCCCCCAACTCCCGGGCCCGCGATCGCGCCCCACTCACCGCGCAACGCGGCGCCCACCTCCTCGGCGAAGGCCTCCAGGGAGCGGCCCGCGGGGTGGCGAGCGCGGCCTCCTTCAGCCCCCATCCCCCGCGCCGCCCTCCTCCGGCCCATGGCGGGCAGCTGGGTCCCGAACACCGCCCGCCTCACGGCTCGGCTGCGGCCGGGCCGCGCGTGTCTGCGCAGGCGCCGAGCGCCACTTCCGGCCCGGCGCCGCCCACATGACCGCGCGCGGGGGAGCGATGGCGGCGAGGCTGGCGGGCTTCCTGCTGCTGCTGCTGGGGCTCGCGGCGCCGGGTTAGTGTCCCCGCGCTCCGGGGCCCCTCGCGTGCGCCCCCTCCCGCCCGCCTCCTGACCGCCCCGTTCCCCGCAGGGCCCGCGCCCGCCGCTGCCGCCAAGATGAAGGTGGTGGAGGAGCCCAACGCGTTCGGGTGAGCGGCCGCGCCGGGCGCGGCGGGGCGCGGCGGGACAGCCCGGAGTCCGGCTCCCCCTGACCCTGCCGCTTCTCGCAGGCTCAACAACCCGTTCCTGCCCCAGACTAGTCGCCTCCAACCCAAGAGGGATCCTTCACCCGTGTCTGGTGAGTGCGGGACCCTGGCCGCGGACATGGGGGCGGCCAGGGAGGGAAGCAGGGAGCCGGCGCGGATTTCCGGCTCGGGTGGCCGGGGCAGCCTGGGATGAGGGCCCTGAAAGGGCCCGGAGTCTCGTGCATTCGTTTGTCAGCCTCTCAGAGTTTGAGTGCACCAACGTTATTCCAGAACGTTCTAGTACGAGTTAAATAGTTACCTCCGAATTTAGTCTTCTTTAATTCCTTTTGTGAAGGTGATCTCAGTTAATAGTTGGCCACAGACGTCTTTTGTGCTTTTACGTGCGTAAGTGTACAAGGAAAAATGTGCATTAATGTGGTTTGGTGCTTTCTGCCGCTATTTTTTAAAACGTATTTTTTGCCTTTTTTTGAACAGCACGAACTACGCAGGTTTGCGCATTTGCTGTTGCTCGCGGTGTGTCTTCGTGGTGGTGAACACTGGCCTTCACTCTTCTCTTTTGATACTTAGTCTTTCATAGGATGGGCCTGTGTCCTTTTATCGTCAGATGTTACGTTTAAATTTGTTGGTCGTTAGAAGCAATGCTGTGGAGAACATCCTTCGTGCGGATTGTCTCTTTCTAGGCTGTGTGCGTGGTTTCCTAAGGCAGGATCCCAGAAGTGGAATCGCTGGGTCGTCAAATGAGAAACACGGGAAGCAAAAAACCCCGTAATGTTTTTTATTGAGCACTGCTGTGTGTTAGGGTCTGTGATGGGAATGCAGAAATGAGCAAAACGTAGAGAGCTTGTTCTCTCTTCGTGACAGTCTAATGGGGGAGTGTGCGTGTGTGCGCCAACAAAGAAGTAGGTGAAGTGTAGAATGCTTGATGAGAAATACTCTATAGGTCTGGAAAGCAGAGACGAAAGTGTGTGTGAAGAGGTGAGTGTTGTTTTGGGAATTGCCATTTTATTTATTTTTTTTAAAGATTTTATTTATTTATTTGACAAAGAGACAGCGAGAGAGGGAACACAAGCAGGGTGAGTGGGAGAGGGAGAAGCAGGCTTCCTGCTGAGCAGGGAGCCTGATGTGGGGCTCGATCCCAGGACCCTGGGATCATGACTGGAGCCGAAGGCAGACACTTAACGACTGAGCCACCCACGTGCCCTTTTTATTTTTAATTATTATTATTAAGCAAACTGTACACCCAGTGTGGGGCTTAAACTCAAGACCCCAAGATCAAGAGTCATATGCTCTAGGGACAGAGCCACTTAAATAGGGGAGTCAGGAAAAAGCTGAGAAATGACATTTTGGCCAGAAGCTGAAGGAGGAAAGGACATGAGAGAGGGATGGGGATATCTGGGAAGAGGAGTCCAGCAAAGGGAGGAGGGCAGGTAAAGGCCTCCAGCAAGGACGCCCAAGCCAGAGGGATTGGGGGTAGGTAGGATGAACTCAGGGAACAGATGTGAGATTTCACTCTAAACTATCCCTGCTTTTTATTACAAAAAGGATTGAAAAGAAAAATGGAGAAATGGGACAGTGGACACGTGTGCTCTGCGCCTCTGTGAACAGTTCACATTTGCCTGGTCCTCTCTTTCATCATTTTGAAAAATGTGAATTTCCATTTTGCTGAACCATTTGAAACTAGATTACAGGGCGCCTGGGTGGCTCAGTTGGTTGGGCAACTGCCTTCGGCTCGGGTCATGATCCTGGAGTCCCTGGATCGAGTCCCGCATCGGGCTCCCTGCTCGGCGGGCAGTCTGCTTCTCCCTCTGACCCTCCCCCCTCTCATGTGCTCTCTCTCATTCTCTCTCTCTCTCAAATAAATAAATCTTTAAAAAAAAAGAAACTAGATTACAGACATTATGACACTTTATCCGTCAATAGTTCCAGTATGGATCCCCCACCTCCCCAAAATTAGTAGTGTGTAAACAGCCCACATCCCCCAGTCGTCCCAGTGCCCTCTACAGCTGTCCCAACCCCCCGCCCCAGGATTAGTCAAGGGTCACACATGTATTTGGTTACTCAGGTGTCTGTAATCTTAAATCTGGAACAGGTCCCTTTACACTGTACCCCCTTTAAAAAAGGCTTTCATGACCTTGACTTTGGAGGAGTCCGGGCCAGTTGTCTTACAGAATGACCTCCTGGATTGCTCTGGTTTAGGTCATTTGCCTGGTTCTTTCTTTGGTGTGTGCTCCGTGAGTAGGGAGATAGGCTGGGAAGCTGTATTACTGTCAGGTGGTCAGGGTCAGCGGTCTGGACACAGATCTTTCCTAGCAAGGCAGTGGACCATGTGTGGCCTCATGTGGGAGGGCAGTGCTTTGTGGCCAGGGTCCCTCCGCTGTCCACACGGGCTTCTGCCTCTGCTCTTGGCATGTGGGCTGCGAGCTGTCCCTGGGCTCTGAGTGACCGCTGTGCTCAGGAGTCTTGCGTTCTACCCCGAGGGAGGAGGAGAGTGCGTGCCTACTTTCTGCCTCTCTCATGCAGCTGCATCTCCTAGCAGATGGCCTCTGACAAAGAATACCCTTCCTCTCCCCTCTTTTTTCTTTTTGAAGATCATCATCGGCTCATTTGAAACTTTTTATTGAGCTATAGTTGACACATTCAGTTTGATGAAATGTGGCAGTTGATCACATCCATGTCCTTGTTGCCCAAAACAAGGTGTAGAACAATTTCATCAACCAGAAAATGACTGTGTTCCTTTCCACATCCTCCTCCTCATCACTTTCTGGTGTCTGTCACTGTAGATGAGTCTTCTCTGTGCTTGGCCTCCAGCTACATGGAGTCCCAGAGCATATGTTCCCGTGTCTGGTTTCTTTCCAGCCTCGTGTTTCTGGGACTCATCCGTGGTGTTGTGTGTATCACTGTTCTTATTGGTGAGTACATGTAAAAACTGAAATTGAGTATGGCCCGTAATTGATTCTGTCATGCCTAGGTCAGTGTCCTAGTTGAGGTGATGAGCCAGAGCTAGGTAAGCATTGGGAGAGGCTGCGTGATGGTACGTGGACCGTGGAGTAGGAATTTTGCAACTTCTTGTAAGTCTCATTATTTCAAAAAGCATATACACACATATATATGTGTTTATATTGGGAGATCCATGTGACTTTAAGTTTCCAACTGAAATGTAGTATTACAGGGCTGGGGGGTTGTTTTCTTTTTCTAACACTGAAAAGCTGGGTTCCTTAATCACATAAGTATATTTACTGGCTAACTCCCATAATTACAGAAAATAGCTTTGGGATTATAATAACAATACTACTAGTAACATGAAATGAGTGGGTGAGGCTTGAGTTTTTATGCAGTTCATTTTAGGATGTGTCCAACCAGAGACAGACGTCAGAGCTGTGTGGTGCGAGGCTGAGCACGTCTGTGTCTACTAATCACTTCGACAAGCACTTTGGGTCAGATGTTTCTGCCTGTGCTCAGTGGTAGGGCCTGCCATGCATCTTTTTCACCTTCGATTTTCACTAACTTTAAAACCTTTTTTTTAAGTTTTGTTTTTTAAGAATCATCTATTTTATTTTTTTAAAGATTTTATTTATTTGACAGAGAGAGACACAGCGAGAGAGGGAACACAAGCAGGGGGAGGGGGAGAGGGAGAAGCAGGCTTCCCGCGGAGCAGGGAGCCCGATGCGGGGCTCGATCCCAGGACCCTGGGATCATGACCTGAGCCGAAGGCAGACGCCAAACGACTGCGCCACCCAGGTGCCCCCAAGAATCATCTATTTTAGAGAAAGTGCTCAAGAGCGGGGTGGGCGGGGAGAGCGGCAGAGGGAGAGAATCCCAAGCAAACTCCTCACTGAGCCCAGAGCCCCACCTGGAGCTCGATCTCATGACCCTGAGATCATGACCTGAGCTGAAATCAAGAATCGGACGCTCACCCGACAGAGCCTCCAGGTGCCCCGATTTTTACTTGAGTTTAAACAGTTTTGTGATAGGGCCGATTTGGAGCATGTGGGAAAGTGGGAGGGAAGGACGATGAGGCCCCAAGTCCCGGCACTCAGCCTCAGCCCTCACCCCGCAGTTCTGTTCTCACCATTCAGCTCATTTGTATATATTTTGGCGTCTTCGTCCTAAGGGCATAGCCACATTATCTTCTTCACGCTTTAAAAAAAGAAAACAAAAACACTAATTCCTTCGATAAAAATCCTGTCAGTGCCTTAGGTTTCTAATGGTCTCACATCGTTAAGAGCTGGTTTGTCCAAGTCAGCGTTTCTGCTCCGTGTGCTGTGGCCTCATGGACTTTGGATCTATAGCTCCCCTCCCTGTTTGCTCACAATTTCTTTATTGAAGAAACTGGGTCATTTGTTTACCACATTCTGAATTTTGTTCATTGCGTTCCTGTGGTGCTTAACATTTCTTCTTCATGTTTGCTGGAATAAAGACTTGTTTCTTTATTTTCCTTTCCAATCTGGTGCCTTTCGTTTGTTTTTCTTGTGTCTTGCACCAGCCAGGCCTCCTGTGCTGCTGAAGAGCCGCTCTCCCTTCCCTGCTCCTTGCTCAGCATCCCTCTGTCGGCTCCGGCGTCCCCCCTTGGTCGGGAGAGGAGGTTCCCTCTTCTGCCTGCTTGCTGAGTTTTCACCATGCGAATGAATAGGATTGTGTCAAATGCTTTTCTGTACCTATTGAGATGCTCAGAGAGTTCGCTTTTTCGGGCTGTTTATACAGTGGTTAGCGGGAATTTCTGAATGTTTAGCCAATCTTGTATCCTTGGAATGAACCCCACTCGGTCAAGATGAGTACACGTTTTATATATTGGATTTAAATTGCTAATTATTTCTGACCTTTTTATTTCTAGAATTTCAGTTCTTTTTTCTATTTTCTACATAACTGCTGAGACTTTATTTATTCCTGTTTTGTTTTACTCCCTTGAACATGTTGTAATAACTGCTTTAAAATTCTCTTCTGCTTCCAGCATTTGTGCCGTGTGGGGCTTGAGCCACAGTGGTTTTCCTTTTCTCTCCAGTGTGGGTCGCACTGCCTGCGTGCTCACATGTCTCATATTTTTGGAGTAAGTTCTTGACGCGGGCTTGGCTGTGCTCCTTTGAAGAGCATGATC